TTTGAACTTTTTCCCTGCCTCCTCCGTGTGTGTTCTGCATATGGGCTTGCTCCTTTGATCCATCATGACATCTTCGACCTCTTTCCAACCATTAACCAGCGTTCACCTCCAGATTCCAAGTTGCTGTCCTCAGTCCAAACACCTGTTCCCTGGATGTCTTGATTATTGTTAATTTCTCGTAGATAAATGTTTCATTTTTCTCCTGCCTGCCTGCTGAGTGTGTTGCATGTGGGCCAAAACATTGCTTAGCATCATTACGTTACCACAGACAAACTCTAGGTTTGAGCAAAAAAGGAAAAACGATGCACTCTTTTTGTCCTTTTTAACATTTTCTAAATCCTTCTTTCTCCCAATAGCTTTTTGGTTATGTAAGTGACCGACACAAAGCTTTGTGCTCAATATACTAGACTGGACAGATGATGCAGACATGTTTTTCATTCAGATTTAATGCATTAACTTTTAGGCTTTAGAACGGAAAAAAAGCATGACTTATTTTCATTATTACATAACTAGTTTATTGTCAGTCCCTAAGCAAACCATCACTGCCCTGGTTAGTTTTTGGGCTAAATAGTCATTAGGGGGGCCACATGCCGAAGGCATGGCCCACCTACTACTATCTCACATATTTATTCCGCGTATTATACTAGCTTATAGTTCTCCTCGCCACCAAAACTTCGGCACCTAACTAGTCCCGCACGGTTTGGCGGATCGGGCCCAAAGTTGGCACACGCGTCGGGACCAATGGTGCGATGCGTGCTTGTATAAAACTTTCTCATTAGTCCGAAGGTTCGCGAATTATTAGCGAAAACGTCGCAAAAAAAATCCCATAGGAAATGAATGGGGAGAGGGAAAAAAAAGCATAAAAAACAGCACTTCACTGTGTCGGCATACATTCATGTAGAAAAACAGTTTAAAGCTCAGTTTGTAGATAAATCCTTCGTCTATTTAAAACTGAAGACGGCATGTTGATAACTGCTACGGTTTTTGTATAATCAGACCTCAAGCGCCACAAAGTTTTAGCAAAATCCACCCTTCTAGAGTGGAGAGACTGAAAAGCTAGAGTGTGAGGCAGCCGTTTTTTTAAGACCAAAAAACATTTTAAACTCGCCCTCACGGCCACATATTTATAGCTAGAGTCACCATTTTTGGTCAGTTTGTAGACTGAAATCTCTGGACCCACACAATGTCTTCGGAATTACGGTAGGATTAATACTTTTCCTTAAAAACCCTCCAGACCGACCTAAAATCGATCAAAATCAGAGCCGTTTTTCATTGGTTTTGGAGCAGCAGTGGGGAGAAAAACGAATGACATTATGTGTTTTCAACTCGTCATAAATATTTTTCTGAAAGACACACATACACCAAAGTTGGCATAGTTGGAGTCGAAGGATGGCTGACGGTCACGGTGAAAGAATCTTTTGAATAACTCATACGGTTTTTGCTCAGCAGTCGTTTGTTCGGAGGACATTTTAAGCACCAGAAAGCTGGGTGACAGTGAGCTGCTGTAGCTAGCTCAGTTAGAAGCTAAGGACTGAGGACCCGTTTTTTCTTATTCTTTCTCTTCCCATTCAGGTTGTAGATGACCTACAGCCATGAAAGTTACTCCAATTGAAGACAAGATATAGCTGTCGCTTAGATAAAAAGAATTTTTCAGATATCATTTATGGTTTTTACTCAGCAGTCGTTTGTTCGGAGGGGTGCTTTAGCAGCAAAAAGATGAGAGAGGAGCTGCTGCAGTTAAACCAATGGTAGGAGCAGGTGGGACCCACCATTTTGTTTGTGCTTCGTTTTGGGTTGTGAAAGACCTACAGACATGAAGGTTACCCCAGTCTGAGACAAAGGATAGATGTTTCTTTCACTGAAAGAATTTTTCAAATACCTTTTACGGTTTTTGCTCAGCAGTCGTTTGTTTGGAGGGTAAGCACCTGGAAGCTAGCTGACAGTTAGCTTCTGCAGCAGCCTGCTAGTGTGCAGCTGCTGACATCTTAGTGTGAGGCGGCCGTTTTTTTAAGATAAAAGATTTTGTTCTTGCCTCACGGCCACATATTTGGAGCTACAGTCACCATTTTTGGTCAGTTTGTAGGCTGAAACCTCTGGACTCACACAATGTCTTCGGAATTACGGTAGGATTAATACTTTTCCTTAAAAACCCTCCAGACCTACCTAAAGTCGATGAAAATCAGAGCCGTTTTTCATTGGTTTTGGAGCAGCAGTGGGGAGAAAAACGAATGACATTATGTGTTTTCAACTCGTCATAAATATTGTTCAGAAAGACACACATACACCAAAGTTGGCATAGTTGGAGTCGAAGGATTGCTGACGCTCACGGTGAAGAAATTTTTTGAATAACTCATACGGTTTTTGCTAAGCAGTCGTTTGTTCGGAGCTGTTGCTCCCATTCAAAAAAGCCTGAGAGCTAAGGAACGATAGTGCTGCGCTTTTCTCTCTGTCACTGACAGGCTCGTTAAGCGTTGTCAAGGTAACCGTGCTTCAAAGAGATTTTACCTCTGCTGTTTTAAACAGCACATATTAATCTAATGGAGGGTGAAAGCACTGATTTAACATTGGGAAATGGATACTATATGACTGCTGTCCATGACACTTCCCTTGCCACTCAACACTGATAGACTTTCAAAATAAGACTCCAGGGACCCTACAAAATAAAAGCCTCTATATTTTTTACATATATTTATTGCCCTATATGGCTCAACATTATGACCCAAACTCAACCCCATTTTAGAGAATAGACTCTAGGAGACTGTTTAAAACACAACCTAAGGCAAATTTCAAAATAAAAGCCTCCCATTTCATCTTCATCTACTGCCCTAATAACATGGAAAAAGAGTGATTTAACGATTGGAAAGTCATCAACTATCATTGCTGGGTCTGAACATTTTCTCTAAACACAACTCTGTTGGACTTTCAAAATAAGACTACAGGGACCCTACAAAATAAAAGCCTCTAGATTATACTAATGCAATAATTGATGCAAATGGCTCAACATTATGACCCAAACTCTTCCAGGTTGTTTTTATTAGACTCTAGTGACCTTTTCAAAACACACCCCAGAGCAAATTTCACAATAAAAGTCTCCCATTTACTCTGTAATACAGCAGCTATTCACCTAATAACATGGAAAACCAGTGATTTAACATTTGGAAATGGATTCTATATCACTGCTGGGCATGACCCATCTTTTGATGCACATCCATGATAGACTTTCAAAATAACACTACAGGGACTCTACAGAATAAAAGCCTCTTCCTTATACACACTCATACATTCTGGCATATTGCTCATAGCCATTGGTGATTTCATCACTGCAATGGCTCTTAGAAGGCGGGCGAAGCCCGCCATTGGTGATTTCATCACTGCAATGGCTCTTAGCAGGCGGGCAGAGCCCGCCATTGGTGATTTTTTTCATCGCTGCAAGGGCTCCTAGCAGGCGGGCGGAGCCCGCCAACTGCGCTTTACCCACTGCGGTTCAATATGGACAACCCATATTACCCTTGTGCATCATATGCTGTGCACGTCTATTTCCCAGATTTCAGCACAAGTGGCACACAGCTCTCTTTGCCCATGACCTAGCCCTCTTTCCTTCCCTCAGCAGCCCTCAAAGGCGTAAGCAGTTGGTCTGGGGAGCCCCAATGTCACTTGCCAGGGCCGTATTGGCCCAGTTACCCAGACGGGCAGTAGGTGGCCCCCCTCAAAATTTCTTTAGAAATTTTCTAGTTTAAGTTCCTATATTTTGCCTGTTTAAGCCTTTCAAAATCATTGCAAGGTAAATATGTGATGGAAGAACTACATGGGTATTCATTTTTTATGAAATATAGGCCCAATCCCTATACCTATTGCTTCCAGGTGCGCATGGATACACACTAATACTAAATACTAACCCGCAGCTTGTCAGGGTTTGGTTGTGGTTTGAGGACCCAAATGCAGAGGCAGAGAGGCTGAGGAGATTTCTTGCAGCTTTAATGAAATAAACACAGGTAACACAGGCGGGAATCCAAAAATCCAACATAAAAAATATAAAGCAAACCAGAACTATGGAGACATCTGGGGAAACAAAACACGAGGAGCCAGGGAGAGACGAGGAACGTAGACCACAGCATGGGAACACAGCAAAGACAAGGAACCAACAAAGCGTGAGGGCAGAGGGAGAGCATATATTACAGAGAGAGACAAAGGGAGGGCTAACGAGCAGACAAGGAGCAGGTGTGGGAGGAGACAACGAGGGAGCCAAGGGGAAAGGAACATACACACACAAGAGGGCAATAGAGGACAACAGAAAAACATGAGAACTAACATAAATCTACAAATTACAACAAAACTGGAATTAAACCAATAAAACTAGAAAACAAGGAGCAAAGTAAAGAACAACAGAACCAAGACCATGACACAGCTACAGATATATATACCACCCTGATTAATATTATGTAATCACCAGAGGTTTTACCTTCCACACATGTGGACATATAAGGGATACCTGCTGCTCTGGAAGCTTTTTTGTTGTTTACTTTGGTAAACAACTAAAGCTGTTGGTCTGTCACCTATATCTCTGGAACATCTATTCCCAGAGCCATTTGGCAAAACAGCACACACACACAAAACAAACAAACAAACAAAAAAACAAAACAAAGGAAAAGGAAGTTTTACTCGTCAATATGCATATACAGTAATGCTATTAACTATTTTTGGTTAACTAATACATATAATGTATATATAATGAGATTATTTTAACCCTCTGTAGACAAACAATGGTTCTTATCTGCAGATAAAATGCAAAGGACCTCAGAAATGCCATAAAAGAACAAGTGAACTATTTTGGTAGTTGATTAGATTGTTATTATAGATGTTAGGTGTGTGGCCAAGAAAACCGAATGAATTTATGATTCAAAGAAGTTTGATGCAAGCAGATCAATAAAGTTTTTTTAAGGAGGACAATTTTAAGAAAACGTAAAACATAAATATGTATTTCTGTATGCAGGTCCATACTCGCGCGCGCGCGTGTTCGTGGTGCGCATAGAGAGGGACGTGTCCGCAGCATCAGAGCTGTATCGCTTTAACGGGACGGCCGAGGTGTGACGTTGGGACGGGGACTCTGATCTCAGAAAGCGGGCTGCTGCAGCTGGACCGGAGGGAACCAGAACCACTGCAGGCTACAGACCAGTCCTCTCTGTTAATCTGAGGGAAGGCTCGTCTGTTTCTCGCCACCATGAGGGATTACACGGCCACTCCAAGCAGCGGAGGAGGCTGCATGCCTTGTTGCCAAGTTTGCGTCTTCTTCTTTACCGCATTCCTGCTCGTTGCAGAGAGGACGGCTGGTGAGTTCCTACCTGGGACCCCATCCTGCATCCCTCACCAGCTGCCTGTTTTTCTCCACTCAGGGTTCAGATGCTGGTTGTGTCGCTGCTGCAGGGATCCTCTGGTTCTGTTTGTGACCCGCAGGGATGTGAGATGTTGCAGCACATTAATGCATAATAATGACACAATGATTCCTTTTAGATTTCGAGTTTTAAACTCATTCCTACTTTAAAATCTGCTGTGTTGTCATGAATAATAGAGCCGCAGTAAGGTCTGCAGAGTGCGCCTCTTCCCTATTTTTAAACCGTGCATGTCATGATAACCTGTATGCTGACTCATGCCAGACTTTTTGCTGATTTTAAATCTAATATCTGAGAGGTCTGCGTGATGTTTGCTTAGACTGAATCCAAGGGGAGTCATGTTATATTTTAGCGCTCTTTTTTTCTCTGGCTGCCCCTGAATGGATGAGGGGATGGCCGTATACCCCGGGACTGGGCCTTGTTTGCCCGGACAGCCCGCCTGTTTGGCAGCTCAGAGGTTCAGATTACATGCATGGAGGAATGCGGTGAACTGCGGGAAAGGGATGCGGGGAAGCTTTAGCAGCGGATGACATGTTGGAGGAGGTCATTCAAACTCATGGATGTTTAGTAAAAAAACTGCTGTAGATTAGTCCTGACATGCATGATTATTCTATGGAAACACTGCAGAATATAGATTAGAATAGATTAGAATAGAATAGAATAGAATAGAATAGAATAGAAAATGCATTTATTGTCCCACAATGGGGGAATTTTACAGCAGGAAAAGGTTATAGTATAAGTGGTCACACAATTTGCACCTTAGAAAAGTGTATACAAATAACAGATAGGAAAATAAAACAAATAGAGTATTGCATTGTACAGTGTTTTTGCAATATAATACTTAAATAAATCTGTAAAAGCTGTGGACGTTTTTTTTTTACCGTAATGGATATGTGAAAAATAGCAGCAACACCAGAAATGTGCAAAAAAAAAATTATATCAAAGTATTGTTGTTTACATATTAACGTGCTGCTGCCTCTATGCCTGGAATCTACTTTTGAAGAGATTGTTTTCATTTTATTGGGATATTCCTGGTGTAAAAATGCGTGGTCCAACATTTATATACATTAATAACCAAATCAGAACTAGTCACATACTTTATGGGGTACTTAATTGGGAACTATATACACCATTTCCACCAAACTCCATCCTCTCTCTTGCATAATGTGCACACCTTTAATCATGCAGACAATTGCACACATTGATCATGCTGCAGAATTTGTATATTCACATCGTTTGCTAAATAAAAAGATGTTAGGATTGTTGTGGAGTCATTTTTATTTCTTGGATGTACTAATTTAGTCTGATCCTTTTGTCCTCACAAAATACAGACTCAGCATTGTTGGAAATCGAAGCACAGTGTTTGTTTGTTATGCTATATAAGTTTGTTATCTAATGATTAATTCATTGGGAATTAACTGCATGCATGATGTTTGGCTGCAGCAGAGGCACAATGAACACAAATGATCAAGAAAATTAAACAAGATTAAAAAAAATTAATCTGCTTTATGTTTATTTTTTGTCATTCATTCTATACCTTAGCTAAAGTAGCTACTACTATATTATTAGTTTTATTTTTCAGATCTGCCTCTGCTCATTATACATCAGATTTAGTAATTTTTTAAATAATTTTTTTGTATATTGCTGATATCTCATCTGATTTTCAGTTCTTTTCATTATATTATGACTCCCCTTGTTTATTGTTTATTGGCATTGTAGCAAAGGACGAATTTCATGAAGTTGATTGACTGTGCATATGACAACAAACATGAAAGCAAACTCACCACTTTTCAAATGTGAGCTATCATAGAGTAGTTGTTGGACATTATCCTGAGTACCCAGAAACTATCTACCGTACTCATGTTCCATCAGAGCTATTAGCTCTTTCACCATAATCAGACATCACAATAGGAAAGATCCTGCCCAGATGATGCATCAGAAACAAACAGCAAGAGAAATAGATTATTAAATTTTGTTTTTGCAGCTCTGGTAAAGAGAACAATGGAACATGTTAAAGCCTCTGTGCAACTGAAAAGATGTGACGCCAAAGTATGACTTGTAATAAAGATGTTTCTATGCCCAAAATGCCAGCTTAAGAAAAAAAATTTTAATGAGTTTTTTTCAGAGCTAATACTAAAAGGCATATCTGCTGTTGAAAGGAATGTAAAATCTATCATATTTCCTTATTTAAAAGGTGTAATATAAGATAAGGATGCTAATGCAATTTTGTGAGTACAGATATTTTCATGGCTACTTGACCTTGATAAAATAAAAGTTTTGCTTCAATTTTTCGGTTTTTGTAAATCAGTGTCTGTCTATTGAGGACTTGGAAAGACCCCATTAAACATGTATGACTGTTTATTAATGCTGGTTTTAATTAGTGTATGTTTCCTGTGTTTTTTCCAGTGATCTACTGCTTTGTGTATTACATTTGGATTGGCCACAACTACTGCTATGCTTACCTCGCTGGCTTCACTGCACTCTTCCTGCTCCCAGGTGATAACGTTATACTAAATATGACCTCAAGGAGTAAAACTTCATAAATCTGAACTTTCCATCCCCATGTGTATTTGCAGGTTGGGGTCCACAGTGGCTCAGTTATCTGTGGTATCGCTCAGATGGAAAAATCTCCAGGAAATCTCTAAGATGGACGCACATCTTACACCTGGGAATCTTCAAAAGGTGGGTAGACATTACATCTAATGTAAGGGGTACTGATTGACTTTTATTATGGTAACACATATTACAGGATAACCCTAATCTTAACTCTCTGTCTCCACCTGTTTATTGTTGACCATCCTCACAGGCTGTGGGAGTGCATGCGTCTACCAGAAGAGGATTTGTATGGAGAAATCATGCAGCAGGCGGATGTATCTGCATTACGGCTGTTCGAGGCCCTGGTGGTCACCCTCCCTGAGACGCTGCTCCAGACCTATGTGCTCATCTGCACTGATATAGGGGTCAGGTCTCCTGGTGAGCCCACAGACTGACAGTGAAGAGTAGAGAGTGAGATTATGGTGTAGTTAAACAAATCCAACCATCATTATCAAAATTTAAGGAATAAAAATTTTCTTTAAGTCGCATTAAAAAAAAAGTAAGTAACTAATATACACATAAATATTGCAGCTAAACCTAATCTTGATAAATGTTTTTGTTTGAGATGTGAATGCAAGTGGTGGTCTAGTGGTTAGAGCATAGAGCTTGGACTCCTGAGGTTCTGAGTTGGACCCCACTCCCACAGACTGCCACTCTGGGTCTCTAAACAAGACCCTAAATCCCACATTGCTCCCCGGGCACCCCACGATGGCAGCCCACTGCCATGGGATGGGTTAAATACAGAGGTACATTTCTCCAGTGTGAGATTAATAAAGTTCAATATGTATATATATATATTTTTTTTTTTATTACATTCTGGGGTGTTTGTGTTTATTTCCTGCAACAAACACAATGTGTCCAGTGCATGCTATAACATTTTCTCATTTTGTCCAATAATGATGAAAAACCTCAATTCTATAAGACAGACTAACACGAGTTAGTGCAAAACTGTAAAGTAAATGAAAAGGGGATTTAATATTTCCTGTTCATTCTGGACCTTTTATCTTGAATGCAAATATCCTTATAGCATGATGTTGCCACCACCATACTTTACTGTGAGGATGAAAAGTTGTTTAAAGTTTGATGATAGCCAAACTAAGACCTTAAAATGTTCCTACTTTCAGAGTTTGATAAAACTTTAGATGAGTTAAAAATAACAGTTTTAACAACAATCCCCTTCTAAACCTCTCAATCAGACATTCTCTAATTTTTAAAGCTTTAGCCTAAAATAAAAAGTCATTTTTATTTTTATCAAAGTTTTTTTTACCTGAATTCACTGACTGGCATCTTCAAAATGCTGTCAGGCACTAATATGCTAGGAAGGAGACACAAGACTAAAAACATTGGGGGACATTGTGATAAATGGATCTTTTTAAGCATTCTTACTCTGCCTTCAAAAGCCTTTTAATATCTAGTTGTATGATTCCAGTTTGCTAAAATACTCTCCTATCCTCCCATCTCCCTGCAGCCTCGGTGTGCTTTGCTGTGTGCTTGCTGTCTCTGGCCTGGGCGCTGGTTCTCTACGCCAGAGCATGCTCACTCATCAGGCCGGGACACTTGCAGATGACTCCAGCTGCAATGCTTTGTCGACTCCTGTGGCGGGTGGGCTTAATTCTATATGCCCGAACTCACCACAGTGATTTGTGTCGCTTTGAGTGTGAATATGCATTTTTTTGTGCACGCAGGTTGGCATGTTGGGGTCTAGGTTCGCGGTGCTTATGCTCTTCACACGTATCTTCAAGCAGTGGGTCCTGGGAGTCATTGGTAAGCCGAGACCTTATCTGGAAGCTGCTTAGTATTTCACAAAGTGTGTTGGCTGTGGGTCCCAACTTTTACTGGCTTTATGTCGCAGGTGTGCACTGGCTGGGTGCTACTTTCTGGATGGTGTCTCAGCAAACCGACATCATTCGTTCAACTGGTCGATGGAGACTTTTCAACCTCGTTCTGGGAGCTGTTTATGTCTTTCTCTTCCTGAACGTGAAATATGGTCCATCCAGATACCGCATGGCTGCATTTTACCTGGTACGTCTGTATCTGTCAGCACATCAGTCTTATGTGGAGCGCCTTGAAAAAGTGCCCATACGCTGAAGGCAGTTTATTGGGATTTTATACGACAGGTCAACATAAAGTATCACATAATATTGTGGAAGTAAAGGGATACATGGCTCTGATTAGCTTTGCAAAAAGATGTTTATAAAAAGAGGTACATTTGTATGCAGCCCCCTTTACTTTGATACTCTTCAATAAAACCCAATGCAACTGATTCCCCTCCACTGCCACTTATTGACAAATATGAGTTCAGTCCACCACCTTTAGTTTTCACTGAAGGTAAACCAGTGGTCGTGTTTAGTGTCATAAACACATGGATGTTGTAATTTACAAGAAGCTGGTTAGACATTAAAAACGTTTTATTGAACTCTGATATTATATAGATTAAATGTTGAATATTATAATCTCCAGAAAGGTTGTGTATTAAATAATAAGAATTATGATTATATATCCGAAGCGATTCTGGTCTGCCATCCGGCGTCTCAGGAGGGGGAAGCGGTGCAGCACCAACACTGTTTATAGTGGGGATGGTGTGCTGCTGACCTCGACTCGGGACGTTGTGGGTCGGTGGGCGGAATACTTCGAAGACCTCCTCAATCCCACCAACATGTCTTCCATTGAGGAAGCTGGGCCTGGGGACTCTGGACTGGGCTCTCCAATCTCTGTGGGCGAGGTCGCCGAGGTGGTTAAAAAGCTCCTCGGTGGCAGGGCCCCGGGGGTGGATGAGATCCGCCCGGAGTTCCTCAAGGTCCTGGATGTTGTAGGGTTGTGTTGGCTGACACGACTCTTCAACGTCGCATGGACATCGGGGGCAGTCCCCCTGGATTGGCAGACTGGGGTGGTGGTCCCCCTGTTCAAAAAGGGGGACCGGAGGGTGTGCTCCAATTACAGGGGAGTCACACTCTTAAGCCTCCCTGGCAAGGTCTATTCGGGGGTGCTGGAGAGGAGGGTCCGTTGGATAGTCGAACCTCGGATTCAGGAAGAGCAGTGTGGTTTCCGTCCTGGTCGTGGAACGCTGGACCAGCTCTACACCCTCAGCAGGGTCCTGGAGGGTGCATGGGAGTTCGCCCAACCAGTCTACATGTGCTTTGTGGACTTGGAGAAGGCGTTCGACTGTGTCCCTCGGGGGGCCCTGTGGGGGGTTCTCCGGGAATACGGGGTGCCGGGCCCTTTGATACGGGCTGTCAGGTCCCTGTATGACCGGTGTCAGAGTCTGGTCCGCATTGCCGGCAGTAAGTCGGGCTCATTTCCGGTGAGAGTTGGACTCCACCAGGGCTGCCCTTTGTCACCGATTCTGTTCATTACCTTCATGGACAGAATTTCTAGGCGCAGCCAAGGTGTTGAGGGGATCCGTTTTGGTGGCCTTAGGATTGCGTCTCTGCTTTTTGCAGATGATGTGGTCCTATTGGCTTCATCAGGTCGTGATCTGCAGCTCTCGCTGGATTGGTTCGCAGCCGAGTGTGAAGCGGCCGGGATGGGGATCAGTGCCTCCAAATCCGAGGCCATGGTCTTGAGCCGGAAAAGGGTAGAGTGCCTTCTCCGGGTCAGGGGGGGTGTCCTGCCCCAAGTGGAGGAGTTTAAGTATCTTGGGATCTTGTTCACGAATGAGGGAAGAAGGGAGCGGGAGATCAACAGGCGGATTGGTGCAGCGTCTGCCGTGAAGCAGGCGCTGTACCGGTCCGTCGTGGTGAAGAGAGAGCTGAGTCAAAAAGCGAAGCTCTCGATTTACCGGCCGATCTACGTTCCTACCCTCATCTATGGTCGGCCTCGGCAGATGGCCGCTCACACTGAGCCTGGTTCTGCTGGAGGTTTCTTCCTGTTAAAAGGGAGTTTTTCCTCTCCACTGTCGCTACAAGCATGCTTAGTGTGGGGGATTGTATTTGAGTCAATGCAATCAACTGGTTTTCCTTAGATAGAAAACTTTGTATCAATTTGACTGTATGATCTGGTTGAACTGTAAAGTGCCTTGAGATGACATGTGTTGTGAATTTGGATCTATGGTCATGAACTCTGGGTCATGACCGAAAGAACGAGATCGCGGATACAAGCGGCCGAAATGGGTTTCCTCCGTAGGGTGGCTGGGCTCTCCCTTAGAGATAGGGTGAGAAGCTCGGTCATCCGGGAGGGACTCGGAGTAGAGCCGCTGCTCCTCCACGTCGAGAGGAGCAAGTTGAGGTGGCTTGGGCATCTGTTTAGGATGCCTCCTGGACGCCTCCCTGGTGAGGTGTTCCGGGCACGTCCCACCGGGGGGAGGCCCCGGGGAAGACCCAGGACACGCTGGAGAGACTATGTTTCACGGCTGGCCTGGGAATGCCTTGGGGTTCCTCCTGAAGAGCTGGAAGAAGTGGCTGGGGAGAGGGAAGTCTGGGCCTCCCTTCTTAAGCTGCTGCCCCCGCGACCCGACCCCGGATAAGCGGAGGAAGATGGATGGATGGATGGATGGATGGATGGATGATTATATATCAAAAATAGACTATCAAGCCTACTTTACTACCAAGGTTTTAACTTTTCTATTTAAATCCACAGGTGATGTTTTTAGAGGACGCTCTTCTCCTTCTGGCCTCCTCCTGGCTGTTTGCTATGGTGTCCTGGGACACTGTGGCGATCCCAGCTGCCGTATTCTGCAGCTTCCTCATCGGTACGGCATGCAGCCACTGGATCTATTTAAAAAAAAATTAATGAAGATTAGACAAGTTTCTATTTGCCAGTGAATTACTTTTCCCTAAAATAAAAACAAAAGTTTTTTTCTTACAGTCTCCTTTGCTGATGATACTTTTCCTCTGCAGGGCTTATAGCACTGGTGCTGTACTACCGTTTCCTTCACCCCAAGTCTTTTGAGATCTTCCAGAGTATTCGCCACAGGGGGATTGGCGGAGCCTGCATGGAGCGTGGATCTGCGCTCTCACTTGAGGAGAAAGTCGAGCCCAATTTCCATCATCATACAACATTGTCTGGTTGGTGGTTGACAAGCCTATGCATGTTTATGTAACTCTCTTTCTATATGCTACCAGTTACATCAGGAATGATTTTAGGATAATACTACTGTTGCTCTTAGCAGTCGATTCCCTCCTATTTATCAGAAATATTTTCATTGTTTGAGCCCCTCCGGACCCTCAGATATTCTCTGATATCCTCAGATATTTATTTTCTTGATATGCCAACGGTCAAAAGTTAGACAGCCATACCTCCATTTGGTAAAGATGCAGTTTATTATGAAATGTTATCTTGCTGATTGAGATCAGGTGATCATGCTGATTTTTATTTTTTATTTATTTTTATTTTTTTATCATTCCCTCAAAAAATACCCTGCTTCTGGTCTTCATTGCCACATTCCAACCCTTTAAGCATCTTTTCTCATGATTTGGATGTTTTTCAATCTTTCTTTTATTTAGGAGGTGGGACCCTCATGGACCTCCCCATCCAATGGGAAGGCTGGAAGCATCACCACTGGCTGCTGATTCGATTGGCCCTTAAGACGGGGGACATTCCTAGGATCTGGTCAGCGTATGGGGAAGGGGGGCTGGCCGGACTCATGGGTCTCTCAGAGGAGATTCGTTCTCCTGTTTTACATCACGTACCCCAGGTTTATTTCTATTCATTTACAATTCTAATTAATATGTGCTGTATTTAAAGTTTTAAACATGTTTTTTTTTTTTGTTGCTATTTCTGATTTGGGGATGAAGATAAATATCCTCCATTCTAGGCAGGTGTGTTTTGTTTGAAAATAATGCAATAAGGGTTTTTGTATTACTGGTCAGGTTCCACCTCCTCGGCAGCGAGTTCCTCAGATCTCTCACCCAACTCCTCAGCCCGCCCCTCCAGCACCTCCACCACAGGTCACCCAGACTCCACAGGCAAGATCCTCTCTTAAAAGCCCTATAATGTACAAACGTAATTTAAATAATTGCAGCAAGTGAGGAGATAAATACAGAGGTTTAAGAAATTATATATAAATGTAAATCACTGGCAGAAGAAACTTGCTCATGGAGCTGCAACTTATATCCGTGTTGACTGCAGCCGCTTGCTTCAGGTAGTGTTGTTTCTGTAACACAGGTGAGACAAGTCGTCGAGCCACCTAAACCGGCTCATAGCAGCATTGTTGCCCGACCAGTAAGAAAAGCTCCTCCTGCAACTGTCCAGGACATGAGAATGCTTCCACAGATCATCCCATTTCAGGAGGTGATTCCTGAGGAATCAGCAGAGGAGGATTTAAGTGCCGCTCCATCAGAAGATAGAGGTAGGATACCTGGGAGAAAGAAAACATGTTATGAAACATTTGACCATGTGGGGGCAGTAGAAGAAAGCTGTAAATACTTCATCCTTTTTAAGGGGTGTTCAACACTGATCCTCTGGAGCGACTGTCCTTCATGTTTTAGGTTTATTAATGGCTCCACACATGTTAACTGTCCTCAGCTGAGCTTGCTGGCTGTTGAGGAGCTGGTAATGCAAATATTTGATTCAAATGTAGAGACTAACATTTGCAGGACAGGAGGTCCTATGGTCCAGGGCTAAACACCCATAGTCCTGTATGTTTTCCTCTCCAATAGAGTAATTAAATTACTCCTTAAAAAGGATGATTGCATACAAGAAATCAGCTGATAAATGGGCTTATCTGTTGATGTAAAATACCTTCTAAAAGTATTAACTAATTCTATTATAAATCTAATAAACTGTGGTGTGCATTTTTATTCAGCCCCCTTTACTCCGATGCCCCCTAAATTACACTATTTGAAACCAAAATATTCACCTGCTGTAGTTCAGCCTCTAAATTGATAAAGTCGTTCAGGGAAGAATGTTTGAAGAGGTTAAAAAAGGCTTAGGGTAGAAACTTAAATGCCAAGCTTTAACCCTGTACAGGGAAAGCCTTATTAGTTTATTAGCTCTATTTTCACGGCAACTCTTTCTGTAAGGGCAAGTGACAAAAACTTAAGGTGTAAAGATTTATGATGTTTAAAGGTTTAAGCATCATACAGAGCACAGTTCAGTCTATCATTTGAAATAAGGAATATTGCACTGTGAGGGAGGGTCCTGAATTCAGTACTTTATAGGTACTGACTGAATTTTATCAGTTAATATTCCCACAAAATCAAACATTTCCATGTTTCAGTGCCTACACATCGCTGTGACACAGAGGGAATGGAAGAGTGGATGATTTTCTATGATGGACATGAAATATTCAGTGATGGCAGCAGCAACAATAAAGATGCAAGTGAGATAACCGCATCACCATCTCTGTCTGCTCCAGATAAATAAGCATAGTGTTTAAGATGATGTAAGAATTGTTATGGAAATGTAGTTACCAAAGGAGTAAGATGCTGTTTCAGTACAGAAAGAGAAGATCGACCTCTTCTTAGTAAATTTTATCCAAGGCAAACGGCATTCAGGACTCAGTTTGCTGCAAGATTAGCGAATATTCCATAAAGTTATTAGACCTCCCAGCAGAACATTGATGAGAAACAGATGTATTGAGGTGAAAATGAAAATAACTTTAACAGGCATCTCCTTCTAGGAACCAGGCAGTAAAAACAAATCCTTATCTTAAATGAACAAGACAACAGTTCTGGTGGAATTACTCACCTTCATACAAAATGCAAGGCCACTGAAGAAAAGCATACAGGTTCTTCTGCTAATTAATTGAATATATGGTAATGCACACAATTTCCCTCAACAGCATGGTAAGGAAAACAGGTCCAGTTGAATACTGACACCAGTTCCCAGATAAAGGGTAACGGCATCATATTGGTTTAAATGTAAATAATAGCCTATATATAGCTGCTGATCTTCCACTTGAACTGATAGGCCAGGCGAGGTTAAATATATATGCATAATGGCCAAAGGTGCTCTGGTACCTCTGGAGGAGCTGTGATGACCAATGGCTCAAGTGAGAGAATCTGTTGACATGGTAGAAAAAAGAATAATTTTGATCTTCATGCTTTGCTCTGTAGGTGAAGGTGATGATGACTTCCAGAGCGCTGCTTACGGCTCACCGTCGCTTTCATCTCCTCAACACGCTGGAAGCCTCCGTCACATTGACAGCAACGCTGCGTCTCTGACGGAAGCGTCATCTTCTGTGGGATCTCTGGACATTAAGACACCTGGCTGGTCACCTGAGCGCCGCTCTCCCTTGTTGTTGGCTTCTCCTGAGAAGAAAGCAGGGACCCCCGGTGAATCCAACACTACTCTATATTTCAGTGCAGATGCGCCTTCGCCGTCCAGTGGGAGCTACTTGGGCTGGGGCTCAGAGCTCTCGCCCATCTCCTCCTACAGAAGACCCTACCGGATCAGAGAAGCCCGCTTTGTCACATCCACCCCACGTCTGGAGGCTCAAGGTGAAGCTGACAGCTCTGGTCCTGCTCCAGTGGTTATAATTCCTGCCACTCCTGGCACAACACCCGGTACTACACCAGGTGGCAGCCCCGGGGCCAACACTCCTGCAGCGTCCACTCCTCTCGCTTCTACACCTGCAGCATCCACTCCTGGTGCTGCTACACCTGGTACTCCACTCACTCCAGTCATCTCCCACGCTCGTAAACAGTTAGTGCAGTATGTGGACTACAGAGAGAATTTAGTCTAAAGTAAAGTAAAGGGAAATCTAAACTTTCCAACTTAGCCGTTGAGTATATAAAAGCAGTTGTGTATTTACTAACTTGTTGGAGATCTTTTTAGGTCATCGTGGAGCACATCTTTAAATCATTTATCCTGTTTAGTATTTTGTTCAGACAAATAACATAAATGAAAGTAGGATTGTGAAGCGACAGATATTCAAACATCTGGATGTTTGAATATCTGTCAAATCTGTGTAGATTTGTTAGAGTCAACTGATTTGGGATAATGTCATCACACTTACATTTTGCTGCTGGTCGGAATATACGAAGATGAGGGTTGAAACGTGAGGAGGCCTAATAAAGATGCATCTCATTAAATTACAATATCATCAAAAAGATCATTTAACTCACTAATTCCAATCAAAAAGGGAAATTTATATATTATATTGATTCATCCACAAAAAGACTAAAATACATTATGTTAAAAGATATGGATTAGAGTTGTTAAGCCGAACTTTTTTTTCTTGTAAAATTTGAAAAAGTAATAAAAATCTGAAAAGAGTTTTGATGAAGAAAAATGAGCCCGTTCAAACCAATGTTGTTTTACAGTATAGGGATCTGGCTGAGCTTCTTCTAAAATACTTTTTCCTTCCACGTAACTTTCTTTTAGATGCATATTTAGATGCAGAACTCCAGCCAACTGCTTAGGAAATAACCTTTTGTAGCTTACCATTTTGGTAAACGATGTCAGTGACTGGAAAACCTCTTCTACACATTGTTTAGGCCCTAACATAACATTTATGTTTTTGGAAAAACTTTTTTTATATTATGTAATATGTAATATTTTAGGAACTTAATTTGCTTTTGTTTATATTTAGCTTTTTTATGACCTATAAGCTACATAGGTAAAGCTTCCATCCATCCATCCATCCATCCATCCATCCATCCATCCATCCATCCATCCATCCATCCATCCATCCATCCATCCATCCATCCATCCATCCATCCATGTTTTATTTATACCCTCAGGCGCAGCAAAGAAGCTCAAAACAGTAATGTTCTTGTTTACCTTATACACTGAAATACTTCTCATGGTTGTTGTTACCCACTTATGTGGCTGCTGTGCAATGTTTACAGACTACCCTATGGTCAGCATGTGTATTTCTTTATCAAGGAACCATAAGTAATATACAGCAATAGTGTAACACATAAGCCTTTTATTTATTTTGTTTCAGCAAATTCTCAAAGTATAGGAGAGAATACCAAAGCCACTTATCTGAGTAAGAATGATGTGATTTCACAAGGCTGTTTGTCCAAGACTTGGTACACAGTAGATCAGTGGACTGTAACTTCAGAAGTAAATTTCCAAAATATCATCTAAAACTAGAGCAATTAACTTGTGTCCCTGCAGAACAACAATGTAAGGAATTCATGACACCAACTGTTAACATTCAAATATTTGTGGTTTGACTTTTCCACTGAGGAGATTCCAGTGCTTAACCAGGGCTGTTGCTCTTAACTTCATTTATTCTGTTTTTCTGTAACGTCTCACAGTACAGAGACAATTTAACCACACAAGTAAACAACCTTTACCTCAGTATCCCAGCAAATAGTTGCTCTAATATCGCTACCTTAGTTTGTTCACATTGGTATTGGCTGATGTTGTCCTTGTTCAACATAGCAGTATCACTACAATAAGTTCATTTTGTCAAATATTGGGTATCAGCCATAACAGAAATATTAAAATCAGGTATGGATATTAGCTTAAGATGTTTCCTATTAAAGCATCCCCGTTTAAGAGCACCTAATACATCTGCACTAAGAGCTCCAAAGAGCAGGAGTTATTAACAGCTGTTAATGAACATTTTGTTAAAACTGAAAGAACATATGAGACGAACAATGCCAAAGAACTGAATTAGAAATAAGGTTTATGGATTCAGTCCACTGAACTACTTAAAATTGCTCAATGGTTGATCTTGAAATAAGTTGCAGTAAAAAGTCGGCTTTTGTTATCTTTTTGCTAATCTAGAATGTTGTGTTTGTGCATTTTTATTTATTTATTTTTTTTTTTGCGTTTTGCCTTAAATCTGACTTAGAACCTGAAACAATCTTCAGCGTTTTCCACACAGTGCTCAGGACTTTTTAACTGGCTGCTGGTCCTCCTTGATCCTGCGCTTTGCTCCTAATAGCAGTATACTGAAGCCGAGTCGTTTATTCTGCATTAGGATGAGAATGGGGGAAAACACAAAAACTAGATCTCACTGGTAAATCGAGGACCAGTTAAACACTGCCACCAGTTTGGTGGGAAAAGACCCGACAGAAACAGCAACAACTGCCAAATGTAGATACTGTTTTTTATCTCTTCTAACATTTTGAAAATAAAATGCTTCAAAGGACTTCACACTTGAATAATAGAAGCATCTTGATCCTACCTTCAGGAACCACTAATCTGGACCATTGAACATAAAAAAAACGACCGTTTAGAAGCAAAATGTACAAAAAATAATAAATTGAGGGAGAGCTTCAGACTGTCGCCTGATTGTTTTCTGTAATTATTGCCATTTCATATTATTTTACGTTCTTTCTTGTAAAATAAATAACTGCAACACATTGTTTTCATTCCAAACTAATGCTCTGCTGGATGGAAGTAGATATACCAGTCATGCATTTGTTTTCCATTTATATAATATACAGTCTTATGTTTAATCAAGGCAAACTAAAAGAAGAAAATGTCAAAGGCAATATGGCAACGATAAGCAACAGGAAAATGGCAACTATGACCTCATCATGGGAAAAGAGGAGAGAAATAAAGATGTGACCTAAAGAGAACATAACCATGATTATTTTAAGTATAAACAAAGACAATAGAGTAAACACTAAAAAAAATATTTTTAGACCAGATAAAAACAGTAGTTAATAGACAAGGTAGAGTCAAAATGTCATAACTGATGTGTACTGAATGGGTTTATCTGCATATGACCATGGAATAACATGGTCATCACAGAATGAGTTGAAATTATGATAATTTGTCTTCCATGTCGTCGATTTTAAAGGCACTGTGATGTTTTAACAGGCATGAAATAAATCAGTGTTTTGAAGCTGTGAAATAAGAGGTCTTTCAATATTCTTTAATAGGCTTACCTTCTATTAAAGTCATGAAAGCACAGAGGTAAAGGAAGACACTGAGAGCTGAAGCCAACACACCTTCATTACGTGTGGTCAAATCTAATCCATTAGCAACTGCTGCACTGCATGGTACTGACACACAGACAGAGAGTTTTGCTTTCTGAAAGACAGAACCTTTTAAATATATACACATAGCTGTAGTAATTGCGTGCTAAACCATATGTGTATGTCTCAGCAATAAGGAGGCTTGTGCACTGATGATAAAAAGAATGCACACGCTTATGCTTTAGTCTCTAGAAGTGCTTTAGCTTGTAAAAACTACACTCAGCCGCTACACCTGCCTGCTTTGCCTTCTCTATTTAAGTTTAAGCTTTTTTTATGAATGTAATTTACAATGTTTTTCTTTTTTATTTGATTTAATACTCTTTTAGGGGAAAAAAGTTTGTGTTGGATGTTATTGTTAAGAGCTTAGGAAAAAAAAGCATATTTGTTGGCATCTTTGATGCTAAAACAGTTGTGTTTTTTTTAACAAGTATCACTATATGTGTGCAAGGCTTTACACAAGACCCCTGAACTGACCTGTAAAGTATGTTATTGATGTGACAGAAATAAAGACATTTATCATGACTCAAGCAAAGTATTTCTGTTGTAGTTCTTTGATTTATTTCTTCACAGAACTCAAAGTATTATTTTAAACAGCCATAGTGAGTTTTACAATGTTTTCCCAGTTGCTAAGGGTTTTTTCTAAACTTTATTTGTAACAGTTTTTAAAGAACAGATTAATGCAGTTGCAAAATGTTAAGAAAAAAAAAAAAAGTTGATCAAATGTATAGTTACTTCCATCTTGAATTAGCCAGACGTATGAATTATTTGGAGTTTAACTGAAAGTTCCTGCAGGCCAGAAAGTCAGATCAAAACTTACAGTGAATTGAACAATATAACAGTTTAGTTGAGCAAGCACTCAGCTTTTCCTGGATTTTTTTGTTAGAAGGAAGAATGCATTAAAAGGTAGAGGCATGTTTTGATGTGATCCTTCCCCAGAGCCGAACTCTGTCCTCCGCTGACTCAGCAGCAGCCTCCTTCCTGTTCAGAACTTCTCAGTTCTGCTGCTCCCTCTTATCTTGCTTGCCCGGGGTTAAGAAAACATCTTCAGTGGACAAATCCCTGCCAACCTGAGCTTCAGTGGGGAGCTCATCTCCATCCATAAGCCAAAAATCCCTCTATTGTACATCTTGGTGGATCTCTGTTTAGCGGCTATTAACTAAACCTATGTCCCTCATTTTTCTCTTTGCCAACTTGGATGCCCATCCAGACCTCAACAAATATTTCCTCAATAATATTCACAAACTGTTTTTCTGTTGCTTTTTTTGTTTTCTGTTTCAGAGCTTTTAGCTTAGCACTATGACAGTTACAAGTGCACAAAGAGATTTAGGATTCATTTCATGATACTGCTTTGCAATATTTAGTGCAAATTCACCAGCGTCTGTCGTTACCAACACCTGGCACACCTGTTGAGGGCTTGACTAGCCACCGGACAAACAGGGCTGTGCCTGATAGACTGACACACACATGCAATCCAAAAATTTGTTCTGAATTATTTAATTGCATTTATTTATTATTTGATAATAAATCATTGTTATAACATGATTAAGTGATAATTATAGATGCATGTGATGATAATGGGATACTATCTAGTAATTATGAGATAGCTAAATTGTTTAATTATAGCCCTTAGCTCCTGTTCTTTCCCTTTTCAAAGGTAAGGACTCTATCTTTGGTAGGAAAAGGAAACTCTGGACTAAGACACTGGTGACAAACTTAAATCCTTAAATCCAAATGTAATCACACGGTGAAAACAAATGATGCTGGTCAAACTGAGACTTCTAAACTGAGTCTTCTAAGACAAAAAAACCCTGCAAAAAAATTGTAGATAACAGCCAAAGCTCACCATTACAGAAAACAAAAAGATGGGTAATACAGTGGCATGTGTCGTGCCACTATCTATCTATCTATCTATCTATCTATCTATCTATCTATCTATCTATCTATCTATCTATCTATCTATCTATCTATCTATCTATCTATCTATCTATCTATCTATCTATCTATCTATCTATCTATCTATCTATCTATCTATCTATCTATCTATCTATCTATCTATCTATCTATCTATCTATCTATCTATCTATCTATCTATCTATCTATCTATCTATCTATCTATCTATCTATCTATCTATCTATCTATCTATCTATCTATCTATCTATCTATCTATCTATCTATCTATCTATCTATCTATCTATCTATCTAGTATGTTTAAGTACTCGGAGTCGAGAAAAATGTGATTATATAGAGCATGCTTGAAATTAAATCACCACGAGCCACACTCCATACCAGTAGGTGGCGCTAACGTGTAGCCCAAAGTTTACCTTTCCGACTTTATATAAACTCCTTAAGAAGAAGAAAAGTGGCGTCATCATCATGCGCGTCCAGCACCACGAGTATTGCAAAAACAAATTTACTCGAAGGGTCATGATGCGGCTCAATGTCACTGAGTTTTGCTGTCAATCTCAGATACGCAGGGATGCTTTAACTATTTAATTGATTAGAATAAAAAATATTAAACAGCCTGCAGAAAGGTAAGTTATTTATTATATGACAACGCCGGAATTTCCTTAAGCGCTGGATAGTAATGTTCGTGCACAGCTAGCCAGGTTAGCTAATTTAGCAGAGTGTTAAAGTTAATAAACTGTTCGCCCATTAAACTAAAAGCTATACGTTTGACTTTGCGCGTTTATTACAGTCATCATGTTGGATTAAGATAACGTCTTGAATGTAAGGTACAAGTGTTATAACAGCTATGATTTTATTAACCTTAGATTATTTGTCTTAAGTCCCCTATATATTGAAGGGATGAAAATTGATACTGTATCTAGCTGGTTAATACTTAAGAGAGATTCTATGGCAAAGTAGATCTTGAAAAGAGTGATAGTATAAGACTTTAATCTTTTTATTTTATTTTTTAGATATATTCCATGTAAGGTTTCCCCCATCTCATCCATCGTGATTCATGTCTACTGATTCACCATGGCCACCCAGATTTGTAGAGTCCTGGAGCTGATGCTGCGCTCTTCTTGTTGCACAATCAATAGAAGTAGATCATGTTTACGTAAGGCAGTGCTGGTCCCAACAACCTGTGTCCCTGGGGGTCATATTCTACTTAGAAGGGCTTATAGCCTTGACTCTTGTGGCCCTGGTCGGCCCTCGCTGGGACCCAGTTCACATCAGGGTCGTTCAGAGAGGATCTCCCCTTCCTCAGCGCTGGTACACAGAAACCTGTCTGCTGCAGCGGTACAGGTTGGTAAAACTGATGGATTCAATAGATTTAAAGACGTTGATTACATTTTCTTGGTTAATCCTGATTTGAACATATTCTTTTGAATACACATCAATGATTTTTTTTTTCTTTATTATTGTGGCACTTTTTAGTAAAACAGAAATGTTAAATAAATTAATATATAAATGAATTATAACATTATCCCTGTTAATGCATCAAAGTATGTGCTCCAATATTCTCATAGATGGAAAGTGGCAAAAGATTTTAGTTGTAATCTTTTTCATGGATATTTAAGAAATATTAATTTGTGCTATAGGACAACAATGAAGATAACTATTTTAATTAAACTTTGTTTAATATATGTCTGGTTGATGACGGTGTGTGCATGCATCCTTTTTGGCAGGGCCAATGTCGTCCTCTGTGCCAGTATGACTATCTGGATCTTGGAGAGGTAGAGGAAAATGTTCGCCGTGCACAGGCTTGTAAGAAAATGAGACACTTTATAGTTAAACCAGACCTAGCCAACGTGGTTGCACAGCATCTGGGTCCTGACCTGCAGAACGCCAAAACTGTTATTTTTGATTGCAATCCAGGTTAGTAAACTTAGATCTACATTTTAAAATGTTCTTCAAACTTTGTGCAACATTTATTGCTAAGTCTGTTTATGCATGTCCTGTTTTTTTAGGTCCTGGAGTGTTGACGAGAGCATTGCTTAATGCTGGAGCTCAGAGAGTTGTTGCTCTCGAGGGAGACAGGGCCTTCCTACACGATCTCCAGGTAAAAAGCTTTCTCTGAGGTTTTTTTTTTATTTCTTTTGAAGGTAGGATTATTAATTTTGGATTTATGTTTCAGGAATTGGAGGGCCGCCTTGATGGTCAGCTAGAGGTGGTTCACTGCGACTATTTTAGGCTTGACCCCATCGGCAGTGGCAATGTGAAGCCTCCCACCATGTTTACTGATAAATTGTTCACTGACCTGGGAATATCAGAGGCTGCTTGGACTGATGGTGAGGAAGAATAAAGTTGCATAACCACCAAAGTTTTCTACTATAGTTCCATATCCATTAAACAAGAATTCCTTTTTACTTTACTATCCTTGACCTGACGATACCTAAAACACTATTTTAGGCAGTTTAGATTTTTTTTTTTTTTTTGTGCAAAAAAAAACAAACAAGAAAACAAACAAATGTAAAGCTTTTGAGACATTTAAAGGGTGTTAATTAATGTGTTTATTTGTGCACCTCTGCAGACATCCCTGTGAAGGTGGTGGGAATCCTGCCCCAGCGGAACGAGCGTGGCATGCTGCTGAAGATGGTTTATGCTCTGTTCGAGCGATTGTCTGTCTACAGATATGGAAGAATAGAGCTCAACCTCTTCATCAGTGAGAGGGAGTACAAGGTAGATAATAATGATATAAAGTATTTTAACTAGAATTAAATAGTGGATTAAACATATGAACAAAAGCAAATAATTATCACATTTGTCGCTGATATAAACCAAACATTTCTATTTTGTGGTACTGATTTTAGTTTATCTGGTGTTAACTGATCTAATGATGTGTAAACCTTGTTAATCCATCAGAAACTGGTGTCACGTCCGGGGGACATGATGTACTACAGAGCCTTTGGTGTTCTCTGGCAGATGGCTTGTGACGTTGAACTTTTGCACAAGGTACAAGCAAGTTTGTGAAATGTGCTACCATAATCATCATGTCTCCTAAATGTCTGTGACTTTGCAAAATATTATATTGCTGTCGCTCCATCAACCTAGTTGTTAAGTTAATACGCTGTTGGTTTTTAAAAAAAATTCCAGCAGTAATATGCTGTCAGTAGGCATTATGGAATTGGCTCTTGCTACATTATTTTAAATTAATTTACTTTTACTTAAACAGGGAGTCTCATTTGTATTAGGATCTATTTTATAAAGCAGCCTTGCCAAGGTAGCAGCTATAAATTAGAAGCTGCAATATAAATAATCACCTAATAAAATGCAATAAAAGATTAAAATTTTGTAGAAACTTGATGACTTCTAAACAAAAACAGTGACTTTTCACTTTCACTTCATATTATAAAAATCCAGTATGGATAAAGATTTTTATAATTTCATGGACTCAGTGCATATTTGGCGGATGTGGTTTTACCAAAGTTGTTTTAATGCGCTGTGGTTTGCTGTATCCATCAATAAGTCTAGGAGGGGCCAGGATGGGATGGAAACTTTTGAGTAGTTTTGGAACTTCAAATTTTCAAATCCTTGGATGAACTTTTATACTAGTAACCGACTCATGTCTGCAGCACATCATCAGCTCAAATAGGGGAACATTAGTTCGCCTTTCAATCCTCAACCTCTTTTCTCTGTGTGCAGGAGCCCTGGGAGTCATTTATTGTGTCTTCAAGGCAGAGTGTACCTAGCTCCAAGGGCAGGGTAACGGAGCAACTCCATTAACAGCAGTGATATAAGAATGTCTAAGAGGTTTTTATGCTACATCTGGCCTTTTTCTCCCCCAGCTTCCAAATGACCACCTGTGCCTGGTCCGCCTACGTCCACGGGCTGACCTCTTCTCCGCAGGCCTCACCCCCTCAAATGCCTCCACTCTGCTGATGATGGTCAAACAGTGTTTAGCAAAAAGGAAGGTCAAACTCGTCGACAGGCTCAAGTAAGCCGGTTTGCATTAACCAAAGCTATCACACTAATTATACATGTAGTTTCAAAACAGAGTTCTGTGATGGTAATTAGAAGACTCAGCAAATGCTTCCCTGTTACAGTAAAACAAGCTGCTCCACTTGAAAAATCTGTTCTTTCATCTTTTTTTCTGTGCCTCTTATTTGTTGCCTTTTGATGTTTTTAGTCTGTGGTCACCTGATAGTGGCAGCAAGCTGGTGTCAGAGCTGGGCTTGCCTGAGGACATCCTGACTGGCAACGTGTATCCAGAGGAGTATCTTCGGCTTTTCCAGCTGATGGACAAGAGTCAGGAGTTCACACAGAGCTGGCTTTATGAAGAGATACTGGAGAACACACAGAGGGAAGGCTGGGGCTAAAATAGGACAAAGATGGGACACTTTCAAACCGACTGAACTCAAACACAGCAGGACGTCCAGATGTGTACGAAACAAACTGAACTTTAATATATGTTTGAGTACAACTGATGTGCTGATTAAGGAAGGTAATATGTATGTTTAGCCATACAAGTGTAACAAATGATTCATGGGTTTATCATAAATAGCTCTGTTACTGAAACTGATTAAATGTTTGTGTGGGTTTGTGAAGACCAATTAAGGTATGCTTTACATGACTTTTTTTTAAATCATGTTGCTGTGACTTCATAGTTTGGACAGAGGCACCCTTCATACATCACTGAAACATCAGGATATGCAAATGATCTCATAACTCCACAATGCTTCTCTGGATAACACAGTCCCAGTTCTGTTCAGTCAGTAATCCGCAGTAGCAGCTTTACTACCTTCCTACATCATGGCGTGAAGTGAACCTGTTGTTTGGGGAGAGAAGCAATGCAGTAGTACGTTTTACAACATAACAAAGTCTGTATTGTATTTTCATATTTCCATGGGTCACCAATTATGTAAAATGTAATGCTTTATGAAATGTTTAACCTGTTATTTAATTTAAAAACAGACATTTTTTACATTTAACCCAGGTTTTAATGGTCCTCTGCCTGATGATACATTAAAGCATTTCTTTGCTTTCCTGGTAATAATAAAAAGAAAATTTGATGATTCGAGCTTTGTACACTTTTTTTCTTTGTATCCCCCCCCCCCCCCCCCCAAACGATCAAATTTAAAATAAACACAAAGCGGTGTTTGGGTTAGACAGCCAAAATGCCATCTCTCTTTGCATACATGATGGTGGCAGCATGATGCCATGGTGATAATTATCTCCAGCAGGGGCAGAAGGTTGAGGGTCAAATATGTAGCTAGTTATAAGAGTTTGGAAATCTTTGTTCAGCAGGAAAGTTCGGGCACAGTTAAAGACCAGACATAAACCCAACTTTGATCCAACACTGTAGATGTGAAAGCTCATTTGTGGAAAATCTATTCTAATCTGAATGATTCTGAACCTTGAAAAGAATTACCGGTAGTTAAATTCTCAGTCTCAACTAGAGGTGGAATGAGTACCAAAAAAAATGTACTCGAGTAGCAGCACTATTTGGTAAAAGGCTGCCCAACAACTGAGTAACGATCAACAACATATAACATCTGGTGTAATATTTGAAAATGATGTAAATTCATACAACATATAAAGTTCTATGCAATTTTTGGTGTTTCAAATACAGAAAAATCTATATAGACATTGATTACAGAATAGCAATTTCAGATGGAAGAAATATTTCTAAATATCTTTGAATAGACCTGTTATAAAACAATGTTTACATTACATATATATATGTATATATATGTATGTATATAAATACATATGTGTGTATGTATATATATATATATACATATACACACACACATACATATATATATATAGGTTAGAATAGGGTAAATTACTTCCAGTAGGAAATTGCACTATACTGTTCACTGTTTTTCGCTCCACCTCTAAATAACATGGCAGAGTCAGCAGAACAAAAAATGTAGGCTACACCAATGATGCTGGAGTATAAAAACGAAGTCTTAAACATATTTAGGTGTGTTTGTCTGGTACTTTTGTGTTTAAAACAAACTGGTTGAATGAATGAATTAATGAATGAATAGGAATTTATTTCAGACAATTTGACAAACAATAAACATTAATAAATGAATCAATCAAATACACACAAAAGAGACTAGTTAACATCAAACCAGACACCAATTTCCAAACTAATTAAATTCATCTGAACATAAATGGAAACAAAACCCTTAACCAAATAAATCTGTTGTTATACACAGCCAGAGAAATGACACGATTAATGTAAATAGTCTGAAAAGGGGTTTGAAGAAGTAAAACTTATTTTTCCATACCCCCTCTCCCTCTAATTGCACTTAAATTAACTCAGTACACACATAACCTTCCTGTTTAACTTGTTTTTTATCCAATAATCACACACTATCTATCTACACTACCGTTCAAAAGTTTGGGGTCACCCGAAACCATTTTGTGTTTTCCCAAAAAGTCTCACTTTTCACCCTCACTTCCAGAAGCAGCTCCCACAAGATGGATTGGTTGGATGGGCACTTCTTGCGTACCATACGGTCAAGCTGCTCCCACAAAAGTTCAATGGGGTTCAGATCTGGTGTCTGCGCTGGCCACTCCATTACCGATATAAATACCAGCTGCCTGCTTCTGCTCTAAATAGTTCTTGCACAATTTGGAGGTGTGTTTAGGGTCATTGTCCTGTTGTAGGATGAAATTGGCTCCAATCAAGCGCTGTCCACTGGGTATGTCATGGCATTGCAAAATGGAGTGTTAGCCTTCCTTATTCAGAACCCCTTTTACCCTGTACAAATCTCTCACCTTACCAGCACCAAAGCAACCCCAGACCATCACATTACCTCCACCATGCTTAACAGATGGCGTCAGGCATTCTTCCAGCATCTTTTCATTTGTTCGTCTCACAAACGTTCTTCTTTGTGATCCAAACACCTCAAACTTGGATTTGTCCGTCCACATCACTTTTTTCCAGTCTTCCTCTGTCCAATGTGTGTGTCCTTTTGCTCATCTTAATCTTTTTTCTTTTATTGGCCAGTCTCAGATATGGCTTTTTCTTTGCCACTCTGCCCTGAAGCCCAGAATCCCGCAGCCGCCTCTTCACTGTAGATGTTGACACTGGTGTTTGGCGGGTACTATTTAATGAAGATGCCAGTTGGGGACCTGTGAGGCGTCTGTTTCTAGAACTAGAGACTCTAATGTACTTATCTTCTTGCTCAGTTGTGCAACGCGGCCTCCCACTTCTTTGTCTACTCTGGGTAGAGCCTGTTTGTGCTGTCCTCTGAAGGGAGTAGTACACACCGTTGTAGGAAATCTTCAATTTCTTAGCAATTTCTCGCACGGAATAGCCTTCATTTCTAAGAACAAGAATAGACTGTCGAGTTTCAGATGAAAGTTCTCTTTTTCTGGCCATTTTGGCTACTTCCACACTGCAGCCTGAACTGACCCAAATCCGATTTTATTGCCCATATGCGACCTGGATCTAAAATTTTTATGCCAGTCTGAAAAACACATATAAGATTTTTTCCAATCCGACCCAGGCCACTTGCCTATGTGGTCCTGAATCCAATCTTTTCAAGTGTGACCTGTGTGTGAACGACAAGGATGGTTTCCAACCTGAACGCCATTAATACCCGACAAAGGTCACTATTCTGCGTCTTGCTACGCAGAACCGGCAAAACAAACAATAAAAATAGCAGATGATGATGCGTAGAGCAGTAGTGTTTAATTGAAAAGATTGTGTTTTCATTGTTGGAAAAGACCGCTAGATGCGCGCCGCCCTCCCATCCATGTTTACTTCCGGGAAAAAAAAAGCACGCTGGCCTGTGATGTCATTGCGTCCTCTACTGCGCATGCGGGACACTTGCGTTGTATGACTGCAGTTTAAGCTGCAGTCTGTAACATTGAGGAGAGAGCAGACTTCAACTGAAAATTTGAAGAAAAACAGGTTTCACGCCACTCCCCCACCCTCTCTGCTTCACTCAAGCTCCACCCCTCTCACAGCACCTGCGCGGCTACCGCATGCCACCAGAGGGGGGGGGGGGGGGGGGGGGGGGGGGGGGGGGGATTCAGCGTGTGTGAGCTGTGATTGACACTCCATCAGACGCTCCTCTGGCTGTGATTGGTTGTTTTGACTCGTCCCGAATTATTCTTTCCAGATTGAAATACAGGCAGTAGGCGGGTACCAATTGAAGCAGTTTTTTCACAGGTTACATATCACATGTACTGCTGTCTGGGCATAGGGACAGTTTTAGCCAATATGACAAAAAAGGGATTTTTAAAAACTTACAGACTTCAGCTTTTACACAGGAGATCACATACAAGTCGCATATATTTGGAAATATGAACAGCAACGCAAAAAAAGGCCTGTAGTGTGAACGTAGCCTTTGAGCGTTTAATTGACCCCACAAATGTGATGCTCCAGAAACTCAATCTGCTCAAAGGAAGGTCAGTTTTGTAGCTTCTGTAACGAGCTAAACTGTTTTCAGAGGTGTGAACATAATTGCTCAAGGGTTTTCTAATCCTCAATTAGCCTTCTGAGCCAATGAGCAAACACATTGTACCATTAGAACACTGGAGTAATAATTGCTGGAAATGGGCCTCTATATACCTATGTAGATATTACACCAAAAACCAAACATTTGCAGCTAGAATAGTCATTAGCAATGTATAGAGTGTATTTCTTTAAAGTTAACACTAGTTTAAAGATATCTTCATTGAAAAGTACAGTGCTTTTCCTTAAAAAATAAGGACATTTCAATGTGACCCCAAACTTTTGAACGGTAGTGTATAGATATAGATATACTGTGTATATGTAAATATATACACAATTTATATATATATATATATATATATATATATATATATATATATATATATATATATATGAATGAAAAGGTTTGGGCACACCTATTAATCTGAATTATTTTCATTTCTAAATATTTGGGTGTTTGCAACAGCTATTTCAGTTTGATATATCTAGTAACTGATGGACACAGTAATATTTCAGTATTGAATTGAGGTTTATTGGACAAACAGAAAATATGCAATATGCATTAAAACAAAACTTGACTGGTGCAAAAATTTGGGTACCCTAATCATTTTATTGATTTGAATTTCTTTTCACTGACAAAAATGAAACACAAAATTGGGTTTGGTAACTTTATTAAGATTTGAACATCATACCCAGGTTTATGAAATCTGTTTGAAGATTGTCTGAAGATTATATAATATATAATCTTCAGTGTTAATCTACATACATTTATGTAAACAAACACACCTACACAAACACATCAGGCCGAAATACACATTTACACCCTTGTGCAATTTGTTTTTCAGTAAGTGAAATTATGAGTAGAGTAGCGAGAAATGTTTACTCCAGTAAGACTAATGATACTTAAACATATTCTTGCACAAGTAAAAATAACAGTTAAAGTGAAACAAAATGTAAATGTGAATTAATATAAGTAGCTAGAACCAACCTCTGGTTTTAAGAGATACAAACCTACCTCGGCACAAACTGCAGCAAAATAAAAGGTATTATTTATAAATATCTACTATTCCACTTAATAGTTAAGCGGTTTGTTGGGCTGTTATATTAAACAACAATAAATAACTTATGTGGCTGTAAAGTAGGAACAAGGCGCGATTGCATGTGGATGGTCGTTTGGTGCATGGCGCGTGTTTTGAAGCTGCTTATGGAGAAATGTCTTGGGCCGTGAGTAGTGAGGAAACAGGAAGCGATTCTTGTGGGATGGAAGAGGGAAATAGTGACAATGAAGGTTGGAAGATAGCAACATCAAAAAATGAGAAAAAGCGGAAAAAACAGAGATCAGTTCAAGGGGAATCTAGTTCAGAACAATCCAGTGATGATCATTCCATACATTCCACAGCACAACAAAATGAATTCAAAGTCATATTCAAAGTCGTTAATCAGGCAGACTCTTTTACAAATTGGAATCCGGTTCACTTAACAAAAACCATCAATAAACTTGTCGGAGAAGTCAGAGGTGCCAGAATTCTGTACAGTGGAGACCTGCTAATTAACTGCAGAGACAGCGCCCAGCAAGGCAAAGCAATACGGATCAACAAAATTGACGGGATAAGAGTTCAGTGCAGCCTAATGGAGAACAAAAAGATCAGCAGGGGAGTCATTGGAGGAGTTCCTCTAAAAATTTCTGAAAAAGAGATTCTGGAAAACATAAGCGGTGCAAAAGTAAAAGAAGTAAAACGGTTAAAAACAACAAGAAACGGAGAAAGATCTGACAGTTTATCAGTGCTAATTAAATTTGAGGAAGAGCAATTACCAAGCAAAGTATTCATCGGTTACATAAGCTATAATGTCAAAATCTACAATCCTCCACCATTGAGATGTTTCAAATGCCAAAAATTCGGTCACATTGCAGCAGTTTGTAAAGGGAAACAGAGGTGTGGAAGGTGTGCAGGAGAACATGAGTACGGAAAATGTGGAAAAGAAGCTATAATAAAATGCTGTAATTGTGGTGGAGAACATACTGCTGCCTATCGCGGCTGTGAAGCAAGCAAAAGGTCTGAGGAAATTAAAAAAATGAAATTTGAGCTCGGAATAACCTACGCTGAAGCTGCAAAAGGATCCCATCTCAGTCAGAAAAACCCAAACCTACAGTTCAACACACGGCAAATTCCAAACCTCTAGAGAATCAAAAAATTGATGAAGACTCACTTATTGTTAAAAAGACAAATTTTGTTCTTTTCATGGTAGAAGTAATTAATTGTACTGCACAGACAACAAAAAAAACGGAAAAAATCAAAATAATAGTGAAGGCTGCAGAAAAATACCTGGACATTAAAGATTTGAACTGGGAGATGGTTGGAAGTATGATGGGAGGACCGATGGGACCATCAGAAACTGGCAGAGTTAAGATGACCTAGAGTAAATTAAAATTATATGGGCAAATGTGATTTAGTATTATGTTGGTTTAAGTTACACAGGTTTTTTTTTTTTTTTTTTTTTTTTTTTTTTTTTTTTTTTTTTTTTTTTTTTTTTTTTTTTTTTTTTGGGTGAATCGTTTTCTGTTTTCTTGCTTTACTCCATATCAGTTGGTGGCGGTAATGCACAATTCACAAGCCTGCCAACCGCCATAAAACCCCATAAGAAGAAGAAGAAAGTAGGAACAAATTAGGAAAACACATGCAAAGCACTGTGGGTGTGTATGCGGTAACAGGACACCAGATGGCGCTAATTCTCCTATTCTGTTTTCGGGCCCAGAGAGAGAGAAGCAGCAGCAGCGATCGACCCCAGGCTGTGTGCTGTACTGCGGGTACAACAACAACATCCTCGGCAAGGTGTCTGATGCGGATCTCTCTGCCCTTCATCCGTAAGTACATGTTTAATGCGTTGTGTCTCCACTATTCGATACAGTAGTAAGTGTATGTTTCTACGGCTGAGGCGTGTTTATGTGAAGAAAATGCCGGAGAGCGTTAGAAGGTGGCCAGATGTTGCTCCTGTCCGACCCGCGGAGCTAGCTTATGTTAGCCTGCTAGCAACGGTCACTGAGGAGGGAAATCTGTCTCCCTAACACTGAGGACTGTCATATACCTGCTTAGAATCACGCGCTTCTTAGTTCCTCTCGGTGGTTTTCCTTCTGTTTTTGGTGAATCGGCACAAACCTCTTTTTTATTTCGGCTTGATCGCAACTGACAGATAATATAAGTATGTATAACATGTTAATGAAGAGCTCAGCTGTCAGTCATGGCTAGCTGACGGCTATTCAGTTTAGTTTACTCCACAATCACTCATTCTAAGGATGATGCTGCGTGTTTGTGTGTGCAGGAGGATGAATCTGTCTTTAAAATATGGACATAATGTCTGAACTGATCTGTTATTCATTGCTGAGGTTATGAATGTTTGAACTCTGGCCAACATCAGTGCTCCACCCAACAGCACATCTCATGCTTATTTGGCTGAATGACACCGTTTGCTTGTGTCCTCCTCTGTTTTGCATTATTCATGCCCCCCTGTGGGGTAAAGAAACCGACATGAAGAGAGGATGGATGTTTTTGGGGTGATGGCTCTGTGGGAGAGGAGCATTAGAGGAGGAGAACCTGCAGACTTGCTTAGACAAGTTTTATTGTCATTTTGTATACACAGAGTGTGTACCAAACAAAATTTTGTGTAGTACAGCTTTTCAGAAAATAAATTAACATTTCCATTCCATAAAGTGCATCAGTGATTAAATGGAAACAGTGTGGGAGAAAAAAAAACATGGTGCAAAAAATGCATTGATATTAAAGTTCAGAGCCTTAATATATATGGTGCAATTATCCAGTATTTGTGGTTTGGTGTTATGACTGTGATGCAGAATATGTGACATGATTTAGAGTTTCTATAGAGTTACTTTTTTTTTTTTTAGAGTTTTTTCAGCAGTTCAGCAGGCTGATGGCAGTAGGGAAGAAACTGTTGCAGAATCTGTTGGATCTGCATTGAATGCTGCGAAGCTGCTTTTCAGAGGGAGAACAGTCCATGGTGGGGGTGTAAGGAGTCATTGATTATGTAATGGGGTCAGGACACGCTGCGCTGGGAGGAAACGTCTTTTATGGAGGGAAGAGGAGCCCAGATGATCTTCTTTGCTGTTCTCACCCCTCTTCTCACCTGCAGCCTCCACACAGTGAGACAGCTGGTCAGAACACTCTCTATGATGCTTCTGTAGAAGGTGGTGAGGATGGGTGGGGGCAGGTGGGCTCTCCTCATCCTCCACAGGAAGTACATGCGCTTCTGTGCCCTTTTGATCAGTGAGGTGTTGTTTACAGTCCAGGTGAGGATGTCTGTGATGTTCACCCCCAGGAATTTGGTGCTGCTGCATTACAGAGAAACTCCTAAGCAAGGCAGAATAACGTCTGTTATGGAAGTCTGCAGGGCGCTGAGGCGTAAAACTCCAATGTCAGAGTTGTTTTTCATGGTGTGTGTCTGTTTATTGCCCAGAGGGTCACTCAGTAACTGGAAGTTTCCTGTTTGATTTGTCCTTTTTTTTTTTTTTTTTTTTTTTTTTTACCAGATGAAAATCAAACAGTTCTTTCATTCACAGGGTGTTGTCTCTTATTAAAATATACAAGGTTCCTGAATCATAAGTGGTCACAGCGTGTTATGTGCTCTCGTCTCCCTTTAGATGAAAACCAGGACAGCTCTGTTCCTCTGAGATGGGCTTTAATTAACCTGGATCTGTATGTTGCTTGAGATTTGGGATTGTTTTCCTATAGTGCCATGGCTTAATCATGCTTTCTATTTGCTTGTTTGTCTTCACCTTCCTTAGTAGTTCACCTGCTGTTACCACTTAATTCACACTTTCATTTAGAGGTTGTTTTTTTTTTTTTATTGAAAAGTGAATTCAGCAAATAACCAGTGCCAGTTTAAACTGCAGCTTTGGTCTGAAATCTGTGTTCGGATCAGCGTGTTAAAGTCCAACTGTTGTTGCTGCTAAAGGCTTAAAGTGGTTCATCAAGTTATGTCAGTCTCCACTGTTGCTGAGTCAACTGTAAACATAAGCAAGGAGGGTAAAATGGAAAAAAAAGCCTGCTATTGCTCAATACTGACTTGCACTTTAGACCTATTTTCCTCTTTGTTCACCTGCCTGTTTTTGCTCCAGATTAGCGTCATCTTTGACGTTTAAGTGTTTAATGCCGCGAAGTTCAGAAGAGTCTGGAAATTTACATCAAGAGTAACAGCCCTGATTATCAAAAGCGAATGTCTGAATAATTAACATAATACCTCATTTTTATTTTAAAACCATACTGTTGTTTGTCTAACTTCATGATCTTTTTGGGTTTAGATTCACTAAAGAAATCAGAAGCAAATGATTCAGAAAATTCAGAGATTCTATTTTGTCTTTAGATCCTCCTGCATTACAAACTGAGGTTTAAAGCACCAAACAAAACAATTTTTTCTTTGCTGCTACAAAAATAAATAAAAGTATGATGGATCACATATTTTGCTTTCAATAACCTTTATTTAATGTGGAATAATCCAGACCAGATTAGTCAATTTATTTATTTTAAAATTGAACTAATTCAAGTTACAGTACTCCAAATGTCCCCAAGAAACTCAGAATTAGCAGTTTAGGACATTACTGAATTTATCTGAATAAAAACAAAAAACAAAATTTCACTCCTTTACAGAAGAGATGTATTTATAATGAAATTAAATGAGGCACAGACGTTATTTATCAGATGATAAATAGCGTCTGAAGGCAGCTGTTTCCTTTGTATTTCACTTAAGGCCATCAGAGTTTCTGCATGTCAAGTGAATACATTGTTTACTTTCAGATGCATTAATTATGCCTGAGTGAGATGCATGACAGCTTTTTATATTTGACCTAATGGTATAAATGCATGAATAAATCCAATCATTTCCCACTCTTTAAAACAAAGGTTAGTTAAAAACAAACAAATAAACAAACAAAAAAAAAAGGACCAGATTATTCCCTTGGAGGAAATGCCCAGTGAGCTTTATTCATCTGAGCATGTAGATGTTTTCCTATTTCATAATAAATCACACTGCATGTTTCTGACTGTAAATAAGATCTTTCTAGTTAGTAGTTCTCATCAGCTTAAATGGTTTAAATTTTTACAATCTGCTCCAAAACTAATTTAAAGCAACAAACGTTACATAATTTTAAACTAAAAAGAAAGACAAATGCATAACGAGGATGGAAATATTTTCCAAAAAGTTTCAACCTCATGACAGGAAAAGTAGAACTAAAGAAAATACCACTAGTATTTTAGTGTAGTTTGTTGTGATAATTCAATAGATGTTTTTCATAAATAAAATAAAATGGCTCAACCTTCCTTTTCTTGTTACATCTCACTAGAAATATGATACTTTCTATAGAAAGTACTGAAGAGCCCATGTGGCCGATTGAAGCAGCTGCAGAGCTGCAGACTGCGGACCCCTGACCTGAGCTAGAAGGATGTGGCATCACAGGTCATCACAGATGGTGTAAAGAAATGCTTTATCTGTCCAACATTTATATGGCAGCTCGGGAATGAGGAAAAACTTGTTTTCTGAGTTTTTTTTCTCGCCTTCTCTTTAAATAGACCGCAACCCTGTTAGTAATTTTGAACCTTTATTTCAACTCGGTTTGTTTAGTTTTGTTTTTGTCGTCCCTGCAGCCTTAAAGAGGGGCTTCCATGACTGCCGTCACTGACGCTCCAGCTGCTGAAGCCAATGGATCATGGTAGGGACTTCCTGATTTATTTTACTAGATGTATGGTGGATAAAGTCTCAGAACAATCGTGAGCTCAGAACAGTGAAAGTTGTTCTATAATTTGTGAAATCTGACTTTCCAGCTCTTTAAATGTCTTATTATTCTCCCAACTCAACTGATTTCAACTTTCGGTCCTCAGGTCTGTTTGAGATGGAGGGCAGCGCAATGTCACAAGTTGGCGTGGATGGCTTTGAGCTCTGTGACAATATATCAGACTCCGAAGCCCTCACAGCTCAAACTCGAAACCTCAATCAGACGCTTGCACAAACGCTCCCGATTCCCCAAAATGAGGAGGCAGGATCATGTTGCCCCATCCAGAAAACCCCTCTGGACAACAGCAGGGAGGAGGAAACGGGAAAAGAGGAACACTCAGAAGAAAGCAGAGATGTGGATGAGGAAGAGGATGTTGATGAAATGATGAAGGAAGAAGAAGAGGAGGAATCGGAGGCATCAAGTTCACTGATATGTTGCCAGTCGCCAGATACTCCAATGACTGATTCCTCATATTCAGAGACAGGTAGGGAACGTATTTCTGCTCAAACATCCTCGATGGTCCTCCTTCACACCAAGGATTAGTTTCAATCTGTCTCGTTTTATGATTTTTAAGGCAAGTAGTTATCTGTACAAGCAGAAAACACAGACCAGCATTAAGTTAAAATATATAAATGAAATGGAAAACAGTAGATTAAAAAAAGCTTTGGAGCTGTCAATGTTCCTCCTATATTCCTATTTAAAAATATAAAAAGATACGTGTTCTGTTAGATTAATAAATTGTTGGATTATCATATGAGTTCGATGACTACAACAGCTCTTCTAGCATAATAGATTCTAAACAGGGTAAATAAATCGCAGCTTTTATTTTCCTTAGAAAAATACAAATTAGATCAGGAAATTGACAACAAAAGCAAATCATTTACTGATGGATGAAGTTTAGCTGTAAGCCTAAAATGTTCCTTTAAAATACATTTATTATTATATAAAGCAACATTGCATCATTTTTGACTCAATCTGAGATACATTAAATGATTTTTCAGGTCAATATAAAGCACTTGTTGGTGTGTATTGATGCTGCATGCAGCCTGTGTAACCAGAGAGGGTCAGATCTGTCACTGACTGAGTCATGTGACCCTCGGCGTTGCTTCACAGCAGTCTGAGCTCCCTTTAAATTTTAGAGCTAACTAAGTTAAAGGTTATTCTGGTGAAGATTCTCAGTCATACAGATTATAGTCACTGCAAAAAAGTTAAAAAACAAACTACTGGACTTTGTTTCCAAAGGTTTCTAAAGGTTATTCTTAAGCATCAAAACACATATGACACACAGAGGTCATTTGCAGTTTTAGTAGGTTTCCAATACATATTGTTACATTTGTGCAGTGTACGGTGCTAGTTGCTTTCAGTGATGCTAATCCTGAATATAAATATATATATATATATATATATATATAAATCCTGAATATAAATATATATATATATATATATATATATATATATATATATATATATATACACACATATATATATATATACACACATATATACCGTGTATATATAAATAAATAAAATAAATATAAGTCAAGTCTGTCTAAGTGTATAGCTCTTGTGCCTCTAGTGGCTAAAAGTTAAGGTGCTACTTTAAGTTATGTGATGCATGATTATTAAAGATTTTTTTTTTATAATCTTTATTTTATTTTTTTAAACTTTTTCTTCTGCCTCTATTCTATCCTCCATAAAAGCTCTGCTTCTTAGCAGGTGTGTGCTGCATTCTTGTACTTTTATAACAGGAACTACCTCACTGTAGTACCGCCATTCTCCACTAGAGGGCAAGGGACTATAAGGATTCAACAAAGCAAGCTTTGAATGAAAGTACAAACTTTTAATATGGGTTAATTTTAGCAGTATGTGATAGAGAACGTTCCTGGAGACACAACTGTGTCAACTAAAGTTTTTTATGGTAATAACATTTTTGCATAGGAGGACAGCTCTCCACTAGCTGCTGTATAGAAATTCAGCTCTGATCTCATTTTAAGCATAACTTTTATTACTTATCTGCTTTAAAACATACAATGTATTTTCCTCTTTGGTAATGCTGCTTACAAAATACACTATTTGTTGCCTGTTTGATGTTGTTGGTGATTAAATTTTCTTTCCACTTCCTGCTCTAAGCCAGCTACTCTCTGGTTTCCTTTATTGGTGCTTGTTCCATGTTGACGGCTTCCTGTCTTTGCCTTTGCAGGCAGTCTGTTGGAGACTCCATATCCTTTCAGCCCTGGGACCAGTCCAGAACCTACATCTCCCGTCATTCCACTCATCATTCCAGACTCCTTTGAACTGCATCAAAGCTGTACTGAAGTCATTTCTAGTACCACCAAGTCTGGGTTGGTCCACTGCAGAACAGAGGCTACAGCAGTAGGCTTATCTTCAAACATTATGACCTCAGGCATACAGCCTGACAGCTCTTCTATTGGCAACACAACAGCCTCTGATACAATATTAAAGGACTCTTTTTCAGAACAGCTTACCTCTCCTGAGGAGCCTGTCTCCAGCTGTGGGCCCACAGGACCTTTGTGCTTAGGTGGGCTTGACACTTCTACGGACTCTGCCTCTCAGATTGTATCAGCAGACACCTCAGCCGTCACTACAGGCAGTAAAAGCACGGCTACAGAGTTCACTTCAAGCTTATTATCTGATTCCTCACATCAGAACGAGTTTATCTCCACCACAGTCCCTGATTCCTCTTTAGTCTCAACCTGCTCAACAGGATCTATTTTAGGCCCAACTTTCCTGGAGTCTCTAGAGGAGCTGGCAGAAAGAAATGATGGCCGCCTTCCACATTACCTTCACCAGGTAATCTGTCTTCTCCTGGATATATTTTAAACCCCCTAAACTGTCAGTTCCCCTTTAATCACACCTTCCCATGATTCCATGCTTTCCTTCTGACATTCTCATCTATTCAGCCATTTTCTTTTTTTTAAAGAGCTTTTGCTTATTTTGAGCTCTTAAGCACTGCTGCATTTTTTACCCTCAGGCAGGGGTGTTCACTTATTTTCTGCTGCTTCACGATCAGAAGCCAAATGCACACATTAAAAATCCCATGCCATGTTTGCCCTCAGGTTCTCCATGATAGTTTCACTCTCACTCACAAGCCTGCGTGACTGAACTCGTACGTTCTGAGGCGTGTTAATGTCAGTTTGACAACGCACTTCAGCAGGCGCACCTGTTCTTCTAATGGGAACCTGCTGTGTCTGAGCAGTAGCACAAAAAACTGCAGGCAGGAAGGAAACTGACAGCCATTTTGGGTTGAACTTGTCAGCCAAATCTTGGCTGTGGCAATTTTGGGCGACCAGGAATAAAAAATAAGCCGTTATTGATGCCTTTGGTTTCTTCATAGCTTTTTAAAGATGGTTATAGAATTACTACAATTGTGATAGTATGTAAATAATACTCAATTTTTTCTTCTGTTTTTCAAATCAAAATCAAATCAAAGTTTTATATAGCACTTTACAAAAAACACCAGGAAGACCAAAGTGCTTCACAGAAAGATAAAACATAAAAAACAAACAAGCAAAAAAAAAACAAAACTAAGCATAAAACAATGTGTCATAAGTATTAAATGCCAGTTTAAAAAATGAGTCTTTAATCTGGACTTAAAAAGGTGCAGATCAGTGAGGACCTGCAGACCGAGGAGCAGGTTGTTCCACAGTTTAGATGCGGTAAACACAAAGAAAGGATCTCCCCTCTGTTTATACCGGGACCTAGGGACATCCAGAACCATTTGATCAGCAGAACTCTGCTGTTTCTGAATTTAAGGGGTGAAAAAGTGCAGGTTTCACCTTCAAAATTTATGGAAACTTGTTTTCTTTAAGGGCGGCAATCACATTTAAAAAAAAATCTTTCAACACATTTAAAAATCCTAATCAGAATCAGAAATACTTTAATAATCCCAGAGGGAAATTACTTTTGTTACATGCTCCAGTTACAGTTTTATATAAAATATACACACATCCAACTATACAATATCATAAAGATAAAAAAAAGAATAAAAAGAGATAAAATATATACACATATAGCTCTTCTGTATATATATCTGTACGTATATCTCTGCATAAAAACTAAATCCAAATAAAGTGAAAATCCACGTAAAGTGATATTTTACACTAATCTCCCTTAATCAAAGCATTTAATTTTTGTTCAACGTTTTTTTTGCTAAATCAGGAAATATTCTTTTTAAATCTAAAGTTATATTTAACAGGTTCAGCACCAGCTCAAATTATATAATAAGAATAAGAGCAAAATGCTCCTGCAGATAGTATTTTGCAGAAAATGTCACAGATTGAGGGAAAAACACCAAACAGAAGTGAAAACAGTTCCTGGTTCCTGTAGAGTCCCTAGAAAGCCTTGCAGTCGTCACTGCCTTCCCTTCATTGGATATTGGAGAGCCTTATGTTTCCTCCTCCTCCCTCTTTGCTCTCTCACACACTGCTCTTGTTCTGTGATCAGCTGGGCTGAAGCCACGCTTGCTGAAAAGAGGTACAGGGTTTTTACAGGGTATATCACTTTTCTCTAATTATGCATATTTAAAACGCGAGTAAACAACAAGCTGTTGTATCATGTCCTTTAAAGTTTTTTCTTTTATTATAGACGCAAACGTTTTACTGTTGCTCTCTTGTCTCATATATCATTTTATTTCCTCTCTCCTGATGATTGTTACCAACTAAGATACTATACCAACTTTGTAACAAACTGATGAGATGAAACCATACCAGCCTTTTAAACTCTGTGTTCTTTGTTTCCCTTTAGATCGCTGAGACCTTTGTCCTTCAGAAAGACTGTATCCTTGCAAGCCTGTAGTTAAATCTCTGTGAATAATGGGGAATTCTTTTTTTTTTTTTACTTGATTATTCTTACATTCGATGTCAGTATAGCAGATATATAATGTTCAGAGTAATGCTTTTGCTGCAGTCCATGTGAGCTATGGGCTCTAGAAAGCCTAACTCTGTCATGTGCATGTTAACAGATGTGGAATGGCAGCAAAGAACATGATGTTTAATCAGAGGGAAAGACAGTGGGTGTGATCAGATGAATGCATGAGAGAAAAGTGAAAGCGAGCTTAGCTGCATGAATCTATAGAGAGTAAGTTAGTGAGAGAAAGCATTGAGCTGTGTCAAAGAAGGCTTGTGTTTTGGCTGCTCATATCCATAAACATGAGACTTCAGGCCTCTGCTGTATCTGTTATCTGGAGTCATTGTCAAAGTACAACTTAAAACCTTTAGAGCATCCAATTTCTCCATCTGTAAAGAACCAAATATGGTTAGAGCTATTTAACATGAAATTTAGCTATAGGTCTGTCCATTAATGTTTTATTTGTCGCCTGTGTGAACTGGACTATTTTAAAGATGTGGCATCTGCATGGAGATCTACTTGGACTCCTTCATTGCTGCTTTGATTTTCCATGAAATTACATTGCAGTCGATTGGGATTTAACATCACCTGCAGCTAAGTGTTGAATGAATGCAACATTCATTTCAGCTACATGTTCCCCTCCGATGTCATTCTTGATAGCAATTTGACTGAAGCTCATTAAGAATTCTAGATAAATTATAATAATCAACTAGGAATAAGAATAAGGCGAATGAGAGTTAACTGTATCATGTTGGAGTCAGTAGATTATCCTGCATTAAACCTCATTTTTCTAAAAGTTGCAAGGTAATTAGCTAAATTAAATCTAGTTAAATTAAAGCACTTTTTAACAAACAAAAGGTGAGATAATGAGTTAAGCCTAAAGTAATTCTGAATCACAAAGTGGATTATTACAAGCAAAATATATAAAGTAGATTTATTTTTACGTCTGAACGTGGTGGATTAGCCAGTTTGTTCAGGTTTGCCTTATGTTCTGCATATATGTTCATATCTTAACTACTGCTTATCAGACCAGAGAGCTTTACTGTTTCTCCAGCTAGAGCAGCTTTACCACCAGAGACTGTTGGAAAACCTGAATGCACTTCAACAGCAGTGGGGTAATGTGCAGCATGCTTCCCTTAGATGTACACAAACCTATGATAAGTTTTGAAAATACTTTAACATGTTTTTACTAGTGTGTAGGCAACATTTCATGTTCACTCCTTGAATTGATTATGCAGCATCAGACTTTATTAAACTCTTCTCTTCACAGTGAGTCAGTGTGGAGGAACATCCCCTGAGCTGGCAGCCTCCCAGCTGGACTCACTGAAGCACCTGTGCCAGACGCATACCAGGTAAACCTGCAGGTTTTTATGGATTTAGAGGAACTGAGATCAGGAGTGTAGAAAATGTGGCCTAGGACTGTTTACTGCAGTTTGAGTTTTCAATTCCGACTTCTGATCACGTTTAGAAATTGCATAAGTTGACCTGCCACATTTAAATTTTTTATCTTTTCCATTTGTTTAAGGTAAAATATTGTTTTGGATGCTGTTTTTGTCTTTTGTAACCACTGTATTTTTGGGCTCTTGTTTAATTTGTGTAGAAAATATGAGCATAAACAGCGAATTTATGCGGAAACAAATTTTTCGAAGCACCTTGCTTCAAGACTCGTCCCATTTGCAGCCTCAGTGTTGCACTCCTTCACGGGGGGTTAAAATAACTCACTCGCTTTAATGCTGACCCCAAAACACTCTTAGCAATGACAAAAAAAAGACATAAATTGTTATGTTTAGTCACATGAAAACATCTTTTTCTGTTTTTAGTTGCTTTGGTAGATTTCTCTAGCCCTTAAACCTGCCATAAAAATTTGTTTTTGAGAAATATGTTGGATTGGCGTCTAACCCTGGTTCTGAACAGTTCAGGTTTTGATGTTTATATTGAGGAAGTGTTGATGAAACAGATGGAGTTTGTTGTAAACTACAACAGGGAATGAAAGTAGTGAAAGCCCCTCTATAACACACACAGCTATGCCTTGTGTAAACTCTGTGTAATGATGTGCCTGCTTGTGTGTATGAGACGCTGACTACATAAATCCTGGAATGTGATGAGCAATAAAGTGATTGGTAAGCCATATGGCCCTTGGTCAGTGCTGCTGCTGCACTTTCAGACATTTGAGCTGCTGCACTGCTTAGGTTTCACACTCAGACACACACACACACACACACACACACACACACACACACACACACACACACACACACACACACACACACACACACACACACACACACACACACACACACACATACATGCGCAGCTATATGCAGTGAAGGCCATGTGTTGACTCTCATTGACTTCCATTGATTTTCAGTCATTTTCAACCCGTTCTATGCCCTAACCCTAAAACTTACTCTAAACCTAACCATTACCAATGCATACCTCACCCTAACCCTAACCCAATTGACACCTTAGTCCTAAACCTAACCATTAGCAAAATAGCTTGTGAGGATGTGCAAAATGACCTCATTTTGCAACAATTTATCCTCAATCTGATGGTGAAATTGGAAAATGGTCCTCACTCTGAGGGCTAGACAGTTGCACACACACACACACCGGCAGAATCCTGTTTCCTTGACTTGAATTCATTTTCTGGAGATTTTAACCATCACTATTGCTAATATAATCTATTTCTAACCTTAAAGTGATTTTTTTAATTTCATTTGATAATTTGATTGATTTAAATCGGCTTTCTTTCCCCACAAAATAACTCTCAGCCCCTGACCTCCCCTCAGAGCTTGGGAACAGACGCCCACACAGCCCACATGCTCACACACAGGTTTTATCAGCCAGGGAAATGTGTTCAGGCTAATATTAGATGAGGAGAGCAGAGGAGGGTCACACATCTTCTGCTTCTTCTTTCACTAAAACCAAGACTTGACCTTCTGCACGCTCAACCCACTAATCCTGTCTCTCATCTCTTTATAGACCAAGGACACGAGATGCTGAGGTAAGACATTTGCAGTTTGTATCATATGTGTCTGTTTATGTAAAAATATGTGTCTTTGGCTTACTGGCTACTAATTTCTTATTATTTAGAGTCAATTTTATTGTAATAAATTGTAATAAATGACTAAATCAAATCTGAACCGATGTGTTCAATGTGATTCAGGTTACTCTTCAGGACAACCTGAGACTGAAGTTTGACGGAGGTGTTTCACAGCTCTCATGTATCTCATGTAAGTTACGGCAGACATACCGAGAATCGTCTCATTTATGTTTTTGTTTTACGCATTTCATGCAAATGTGTTGTTTGGTTCTAAATTTTTAAATGAAACCACACATAATTGTTCCATTTTCTGTCACACATGTTGCTGCAAACATCGTTACAGTTGAGCATGAATATTCACACCGTGCGAATTTAGTCAGATTTTTTAAAACACTAACATCCTTTATTGAGATTTAATGTGAACACTGAGCAGTTCATTTCTGAGAGAATATCAGGTTGTTTAGCAGTCATTGACTAATACATCTGAAAAGGTCTGTGTTTAGATTTATTCAAACACTAGGTGGAAATAGCTTCAACTACACCTAGAAGTGCACTGACATTTCTTCCACGACACTGAGCTTGAGCCTCCTGCTCAAGCTCGGCGTCGTGACCAATAATGTTTCAAGTCACAGTTTCTCAGACTGATCTGGTTAATACTTAGATCGAAATCAACTATCAACTGAAACCACTTACCTCCACCACAGTTTCAAGTCAACACTTTGAACAAGTTTTCTGCAAGGCTGAAGAAGAAAAGCATCCCCATGACACTGCCACCAACACTTATGGTGTGATCAGTGTGATGCCTCTCTACCTCACACTGGGCCTGATCTTTAAAGAATTCAAATGAGAGGCACTAAAGTGTGCAGAGAAACAAGAGTGGGCATGTTTTTGATGATCTACAAATGTGTTGTGCATAAATGATAATATTTTCACACCGGTTTTGTGTGCTTTATTAAAATGAGCATATTACACGTCGCAGCTTGAGAGTGACTAGAAGAACGACGAAGTTTTATATAAAATAACGTACATAAGTATCTTAAAATGCTACAAACAAAGGTAAAAAAAAATTAAAATAACTTAAGTTATATCTAAATAAAACCTGGAATAGCTCCTTCTGATGAGAGAAGAAACCAGTCAGATTTACAGCAGGTTATGATTCTAAACAGCTGGATTTACATTCTCCAACTCCTCACAGCACCTGCTTGAGCCAAAATATTGCAAAAGAAGGTGGGCCATAATATTTGAATTAACCATATCTTCATCTCATGGAACTTGTTAAAGAACTGAGAAAAGTTCTTTTTCTTAGTTTTTTTTACCGCATTTACATTCAGTCATGGTGTTAGTCATGGTGTTGACTGCATAAAGAATGACTACATTCCCTATGCATGAATTTGTGCCAACTTTTCCCCCCGCTTACAATATTCTGCTTCTTTTACTTTGATAATTCAAATACGTTTACTTGTGCACAGTCTCGCTCTCCATCGTCTGTCATTGTATCAATGCCTCCTCTAAGGCAACAAGACAGGCTACTGCAGTAGTCCTTATCTGGAATTTTATAATTTTTTTGAAGTCTTGCCCAAGTATTATGTAACAGACTAGAAAATAACAGAAGCTAATACAAACTAAACTGTACTGACGCATTTTCAAAAATAAAAACACTAAAAACTAATTGAAACTAAAATATAATTGAAAATGAGAAGTCAAATCCAAATGAACATAAAAACCAATGAATGTGTTTATGAATGTTAAAACCATAAACCTTGCAGACAGGTGTGCCATCTAGAACTGGAATCCTGTAATTAGCTGAAGGCCCACACATTTAAAACCAGGCTTAGAGACGACGATCATGACAGCTAAGGGGCGCAGAGTTCACTGGATTTTATCTGAGGGGGAAAGAATAGAAGGACTGAATGCAACGTTTTTTGTTTGTTTTTTTCTCTCCGGTATATCTGTCATATCAAATCTCAATATTTTTGGGGGGAACTTTGTTGTTGTCAATGATATGAATAATTTGCATGAGGCTGAAACTAATAGAATTTCAATTATAAGCCACTGAAGTTACTGAAGAAAATAAAACCGTGAAAAATAAATGGAAGGTTGTGTCCATGTTTTTAATCGATATTTCTGTAATTTTTTTCCTAGAAGTTTTAGGTAACAGACAATCAGACGTTCATATGTACACATTACATGTGTAATGTGATCATATGTGCACAAGTTCTGTTGAATTATAAGCTACAGTGTTGGCATGTTTAAAATCTATATTAATGGAGCACATTCATATCAGGATGATATTAACAGTGTTCTCCGCTTCTTGTATACATGTATGGAAGCAATTGGGGATGAGTGGATGAATGTCTTTCCTGCTCTTTCATGCAGCCCTTCAGGTTAAAGGAGAGATGGAGGAGAGAGCTGAGGACTCCTCTTCTCCAACCACAACCTCTGCTTGTTTGCTTACAAGGCTCAGTCTGCCTGATACAGACGGGGAAGACCTGAATGGAAAATCAGAGGGGAGGGACACTTTTTATGGCTCTGATCTGACTCGATTGCAAGCTCGCAGCAGAGAGGTGGAAGGAGGGGAAGAAGACACCATTTCCACCGGGGGAAATGGGCTGCACCCCTCCACAGCTGGGGGAATGGATCGCTCCGATCCTGCAGAGCAGCAGGAGGAAGATTTAGGACTGTCAGGGGAAGGAGAGAGAAAGGTGGAGGAAGAGGACAAGAGCGAAGTAGAGGAGGCAGCAGAGGCTCTGGAGATGGAAGATGAGGGGACTGAGGATGATGGAGAGGACATGCAGAGCAAAGGAGACTCTCATTTATTGGAAGGAGCTCCCTCTGTGGAGACTCTGGTCAGTGGGGCAGAGTGGCAGCTGCACAGGGATACTTCTGCTAAGGAGAAGCTACATGTACAGCAGCAGACTCAGGTACATCTTTCTTTTATGAAACAAATTTAAATGAAGGCACATAAAGATTTACTGTGAAGCTAGTCTGTGTATTCCTCTTTTTATTGGGACTGATATTCTGTGAACCAAGCTGACATCGGTTAATGTTGCCTGTGAGGGACGGCTGCTTACATGTTTCCCAGAAACATGAGATGGGTCACTTTCTTGTTTTCTAACTGAACGTCTCTTACTGACCTAGAGAAGATCTGAAAGCCCTCAATCAGAAGGCTGCTACAACATTTCACTGCAGAGCAGATCAACAACGCTGAGTTAAGAGAAGCAGAGTGAACATATCTAAACAAATAGTGCAAAAAAATTTTCTTTATGAATACAGGAGGACACTGGAACCTACCTGAAGGAGCAGGAGGCACTCCCTTCCAAGGAGGCTGACATGGAGCGGCAACAACGATATGCAGAGGAGAGCGAGGAAGAAGAGGAGTACGATGGTGACTTTCTCAGGAGAACCCCTTCTTTGGACGACAAGGCAAAGCTCATCACCGTGGAAGAGGTTTGTTTGCATTCGTTTTTCTTTCACAGCATCATATGATTCTTTTAAAACACAGCAGAGCATGTTTATAAAATTAGCAGTTTATTGGATTATATCTGCCAGGATCCATCTTTCAAGCTGTAAAAAGAGACCCTTATGCTTTAAGCCAGCCATACCATTCCCTTTCCCTTACCATGACTCCTACTCTAAATTTTATTTCCCATGAAAAAATATGATATGCAAATTTAACTAAATTTTTTTTTAATTTAAGTTGACCATTTTCAAGAATCAGAACCAACATGTATCTGATTCAAACAAGTTTAGCTTTTGTTAGCTCTTGTTTTGATTCATAACAGACAGTTGGTCCCGTGTGGAAATTATTGTTTATTTGTTATTATTATTAAACTATTATTATTATTAGTTTTAAAATAGTAATTCAGAAAAGCTTTTTTTTTTGTTTGACTTTCTATTTAACAGGTGCTTCATACTGTGCCCCATAAGTGGGTTAAAAAGGATTTAAACTGCTGACTTATGTTATTATTATTACATACTATAAGCTGTGCTTAGACTCACTCTGATGCTCTTTGCTGAAATGGCCCCAAAGTTCATCTGCCATCAGAGTTTGCTCTCTTGTGAACGAGGAGTTCCTTGATCCAGTTGACATAAGTTTATTCAAGGGGAATCAGTGCCTGGTTGATAAAAAGGTCCACAGTTCAGAGTCTGTGTTCACAAAGAATCTAAACTAGCTGTTCATATCGTCCTTTAAGAAAAAAAACATAAGATTTCTTGAATTTGAAAATTTTACTTTGACTTTTACCTAAATAAAATAAAAACTTTTCACAAACCCTTAACAAAGCTCCTAAAAAGACAGATAAGTTTGTAGTATTGAGGAAGAGTTTTAGCGAGCCTGAGTGTGGAACTGTGATCCACAACCTAAACAGCACTAAAGCAGTGCAAAAGCAGTAATATTATGAATTACACCTATAGCTAAAACGTGCCCATGATTTGGATTATTACCAAATTTTATGAATCTTTCCTTGGCATAATGCGCATCTTTGGTTATTTCCCTAAAATAAATGTATAAGTTCAATAATGTTCTGCTCTCATCTTCTTCATTCACTCTGCTTTCTTCTTTGATCAGCAGATACTTCCAGCGAGCCATGGCTCCCCTTTCTTGTGTTTTGTATTTTTGTCTTCAGTATAATACGTCGGTATAATACTGCTTGTTCCACTAAATATCCACATCTCATGATAAAGAATCCTTTAAAAATTCCTGTGTCTGGATCATGGTGTGGATCCTGAAGAAAACTGAATGGAGTGTTACTTGGCATGAGGCACACCTCTGTTACAAATAATGTTCTGGCAATTTTTGTGCATCAATGGGTCCCAAGACATGAAAGTTATTCATGTCTATTTATCAAGAGTATGTACAGTATTAGGGGAGTGGCCTAGTGGTCTGGGCAAAGAGCTTGAAATCCTGAGGTTCAGAGTTCGAGCCCCACTCCCACAGACTGCCACTCTGGGTCTCTGAGCAAAGACCCTCAACTTCCAATTGCTCCCCGGGCGCCCTATGATGGCAGCCCACTGCTCCCATCAGTTCAGTCATTATTATTATTATTAGCAGGAACCGGTCCAGCTCAGGGCTGCTGGCCTCCTCCACAGAACCTTCCCCTCTTCTCTCCATTTCCTCCGCCTCTGATGAAGATGGTGGAGTTAGATCCGCCTCATTAGACCAAAAACTCTCTCTCAGATTGAACAGCATCCTGTAAAAACATTAAACACATACGAGGGGCGTTCAAAAGGTAATGCCCCTGACCCACTTCCAGATGTTTGATCGTCCTGAAATTTTGCATGTAATATTATTTAAATCTATAGATTAAATAGCAAATTACAGCTCTGAACTAATTGTGGTTTCTGATTTACAGATGTTCAAACTGAGTCAAGTCTGTGTTTTGGCATTTGAAAGGACACACACAACGGGAGACTTTTGATCAAATGAAAGTAACTTATAGTGATAATGTCCCATAATATAACCTTGTGAAACATTTTGCAAGGTCATATAACTGCCATCATCAACATTAGTTATTTCCATTTCATCAAAAGTCTTCCGTAGTGTGAGTCCTTTCACATAGAAAAAAACGGATCACTGCTCGACACTCAACAGGCTCCATTTCAGATTTTACTCAGTTCAAACACCTGTAAGTCAGAAACCGCAAATAGTTCAGAGCTGTAATTTGCTACTTAGTCTATAGAGATTTAAATAACCTCACATGCAAGCTTTCAACTGGATCAAACATCTGGAAGTGTGTCAGGGGCATCACTTATTTAACGCCCCTCGTATGTCAGAGTGTTTAACAAATCACTGGGATAACAGTGGAAAAGTGCACCAGTAATATATAGAACAGAGGAATTTCAATATTATTTACAGACTCTCAAACGCTCTCAATAATAAACAAGCAAAACAACTCAAAGGAAATAAATCTGCTCTACAGAAAGATGTAAAAGAGGCAAGGAATTATTTGCTGTATTGTACATGATGAGGTCATCATCCATTTCCCTAAACGGTCATCTATAAATTTCCGTTGGTGATGCCCTCTCTTCTCTGGCTTTTGATTGCAGTATTTCTCATTTCCCTGGCTATTGAATAAAAGCAGGGGAAAAGTTGCTTTGAGAGTCTGCCTCTTTGCAATTGGACTCCTATTTTCTTTTTCTTTTGTTAAGGTCAGTTCTGCTGTTTAACACACCCGGCTTTTTCTGTTGTGTGTCTCAGGTCTCCCCAGCCTCCGGACTTGTCTCAATCTTAAAAAAGCGAAGCGTATATGTGGACAGCCTGGAGTCTGCAGGTCCGGAGCCCGGACCTGAGAAACCCACCGCCAAAAGACGAGTCCGCTTCACAGTTCCTGATGATAGCTATGACCAGGGTACATAACAGGGTTACATTTACTTTAAATTAAACTCATAACAGTTTATTGGTTAATACAGGAACGCAGCATAGTGCATCGTTGTGATGGAGTTAATTGGACTTCAGTTTAATAATCTCGGATGTTAAAGGTATGGCGGAGGATTTTCGCAAATTTATGAAAAGACCAACTCTCTTCACTTAAAAAAAAAAAAAAAATGCACATGCTCAACCTGTACCTGCTCCTGAGAAAGCCCATTTCCAAGCACACTCCGTTTAAATGTTATTGTTTGCATCGCTCATACAAGCTTACTTTCCAAAAGAAGATTTGCAATATTTCCACTATGTCAGGTGAAAATGGGGACGAGCACTTGGGACACCTTACGTAAACATATCACCACAATGATTGACATTTAAGAGGACCACTTATTTGGATGATCCACCTGGAAAAAGAACATCCTCCATTATACCTTTAAAGTTTGCATAGAGTGTCTTTAAACATAGGCACGCCACACAGATTTTTTGAAAATATACCTCCTCATCTTCTTCCTTACAGTCTGTGATTATAGACCACTAGCTTGTGTTTTTTATGACATAGAACCCCTGAAACAGACTCTAAAGTTTGATGTTTTAACCTTGTAAAAATATGAAAGACTTTGAGGGGAATTAAAGCTTTTGCAGGGAAGAGGGAGAACAGTTTTACAGAAATCCTTGGACATTGTAAACAACTTAGCCAGTGGAGATAATAAAAAAGAAGCCAAGATTAATTTCTTAGTGTAGACTGAGTTTTAGCTACGTGTGATTTTATTCTCGTTTTGTTTGTTTTTCTCTACAGAGGTTGGTGGTGGAGACTCCTGCCTGCTCCTCTTCCTCCTTTGCCTGGTTACTGTAGTCATCAGTATCGGTGGAACTGCCCTGTATTGTGCTCTGGGTGATGCCCAGTCCTCGGTCTGTCAGGACTTCTCCAGAAATATAGACTTCTACATCCTCCAGATGCGTCGTGGGTTAGCTCAGCTGCAGCACTGGTATACCTCTGGGTTGTAGCAGAAGACGTGGAGCCTCTGCCATGTCGATTCCTGCTACTTCTCAGGACAAAGAGTGTTGAGGTAAAGGCTCCTCATGGGCACTAAAGAGCTTACTGCCATTTGTTGAATGGCTGAACGTCTGCTTTGGAGGCATTGGCGTTTTTTTTCAAGCCTGCAATATTAATTCTCTGTGAATACAATTCCAGTGCACTTTTAAAAGCATAGTTCAAACGTCTGTTTACAGGGAAAATTGCAAAACAAAAACTTCAAGATGTAACTTGTGATGTCTTAATTTTTTTGTACGACAGAATATCTGTTGGCTGCAAAATGTCTGTTTTTACAGAAGGAAAAAAAGTATTTGTGCACAACTTGGAGAAGCAAATACTGTACCTTCAAATGTGTCGGATAAAACATTGTCTTTACATGCAAACTACAGCTAAAGATGAAAATTGTACATCAGTGTCTAGTTCAGTGTCTGTTCACATGTGGGATAAAAACTCACTAAGGTTTTTATAATTGGTGCAACAGCAGCTGTTGCTTTTATGTAGATTTTTAAATAACAGGAACTGTACCCTGATAGACAGTAACTCTGCATCTATCTGCTACTTTGAATGAAATCACAAAGTCCTAAGTGTATCTTAAAATTTTAAGCAAATGTTTTGAGATTAATCATACACCTTGAAACATCTTTAAAATGAAAATTTGTAATTGTGAAAATATTTTATAATTTATTATCAGTGCACTGCTAATGATGTAAAATCATGTCCCATTTGTTAAAAAATGCTTATTTTAACTTCTGTATTGCATTTCCAAAGAGCATTTGCTTAAGGCTCCCCATAAATTACAGGACCTCTGTTAACTCTTTATGGGTTTCGTGTAGCATATTTAAAATGTAGAGAGAATTGTGCACATCTGTAAATGCTGTTAATCGATTATCACATTGCAAATATTACCGGTACTTTTTAAAATAATATTTTTAAAGATTTTGCAATATTTCTATAGACCTTTTTTTTTTTCCTGTTGGGCCTGAACATGGCCTCGAATAAGGTTCATCAGATACAAACTGTTCACATGGTCCAAACGTTTGCACATACCCCTTCCACAGAGAACTGAGGATCTGCTAAAGTATTTGTGTCAAATATGAAGCGTTTTTATTCATGAAAAATTAAAGAATATATTGTTCTCATCATTTTCTTGGTGTAGATAATCGATCCAGGACCACATGAAGCTCTATCTGCCTGTGTATGTTGATTCTTTCAGGGAATTCTGGGAAATAGTCAGCTAAGACAGCTAGTCTGTTCTGGTAGATTTTCCCAAAAATATTTTACAAGTGAGAATATCTTGCCCTCCCTTGGTCTTCCGTATACGGTATGTCATCAGCATAACAGATTTTTTTTAAATCACTTTATTTATTGTTTGTAAATCTCATTTTTGTCTCATTGAGTTAATTATATATACTAAATCCTTTTTGAACTCATTCTAAGATTGAAATGTGTTGTTGTCACAATGTACAAAGCTACCTTTGAAGTTGTGGAGGATGGAGTAACAAACACCAATGAGAATCCTCAAATCTCAGACAAAGTTCTTTGGCGGAGGGATTAAAGAGGACAAATGTCTGTAAAAGAGGGCATATATGAATGTTCCTCCTCAGTAAATCGTCACTAAAAGGGCTTATATCATTTTTTTTTTCAGGCTTACAACTCAAGATAGTTACATTCATTTCCATGGCCAAAATTAAGCTAGCCAAACACTGCTGAAAGTTGCCTTGTTAGAGTAATAGTGTTGATTTTCTATTAAATCTAGGAAAGATCACAATATTTATAGCAATCCCACAGTCTCTGTATTGAATTTCAGGTCACTATGGGAAGATTTATGCAGAATAAGGTTAAGAGAAATAATAGAGCTATGGGTTGGAGACCTAATAAACCGGCATCACATGAAGAGATTTAAAAGCACTCTGTTCTAACACATTGATAAATTACCACTTGTGACAAGAAAATGTATTTAAATAAATAAAATACTGACAACTTTCCGATTGGTAATATATGTTTAGATAGTGTAGGTGTTGCAATTTAAATTCAGGCATTTTCCATCCATATTTCATAATCAACTGATACGAAAGATATGTTTATCAGCCATATTGCATAGGCCTACTTGCAATCAATGAAGACCAAATAAAACAGCTAATTGTTAAACTTTCTCACAAGAGTGCTCACTCCATCCTTCTGTGCTGCCATTAAGAGACTACAGATCCATTGGATATAAATCTTGTCAAAGTGCGCTTTAATTGCTAAGACTACATCGTCATCTACATACAGTAGTGCCTTCCTGTCTCCAACTGCCCGACTTTTCTGTCAGAAAAGTGCTTGTGGAAATGATTTACCTGCTTTGAAAGCAGAAGAACTTTTCTGTTTTCCCAATTAGAATATGTTCAAGTTTTCCGGTTCCCATGTATGATGATATAGGTCCTTTTAGGAAAAAAAACAGCATTATGTCTTTCTCCTGTTGTTTCACACAAATACCTCCTGATTTGTTTGAGATGAGGATTTTCCTGGACTTAAAGAGTTGAGGATGCATTGATAATTTCATTTGCACTTGTCAGCTGGCTGGTTCAGATGGCGATCACAAAAAAACATTTATTGAACTTTTCAGATTATTTGTAATTATTTATGATGCCAGGGTATACTTTTAAGTGGTTTTAAAAAGGCAGATCAATCTTTTACTTTGTGTTTTTTTTTTTCTCCTCAGTTACCTGGTTTAGTTTATTTTATATATTAACTTTGTTCTTGTAAGAACTTTGTTGATCCTTCTGGGCCGTTATAATTCTTCTGTCCAGATTTTCTTGTGACTTGTACCCTGTGAGTTTCTGCCAATGCTGTCTTTATCTTTTTTTGCATGAAATTTGTGAAACTATTCAAATGTCTTTGATTACATCTGAAAGTGTTGTACCTGTTTTTACTTCCTTATTATAACTTTTCAGGCCAACATAAAAAAGAACCAGATGAATGGTAAATGCTTTTCACGCTTTACTTCTACCCAGTCTGATGAAAAAAAAGAAAAAGATAATTTTAATAATTCTGACATTTGTTCCTTAGTTGCAAATTATTTTTTTTTCATACAAATCTTCCTCATCATGTCTCATTAAAATCAGTTTTGTTTCGGAGCCTGTGTTGCATTTTTTTTCTTCAGATGTTTATTGTTTATTTGACGTGGACGGAATGTAACTGAGTTTATATTAACCTGTTTCACATGTTCATCCAGCAATACAATTTTTTACCTACTACCTTAAAAAAACTCCAGTCAGCTTCATTTAAATTTAAAGTGAATATATAATGGGATATGGGGCGATGTAAAACAACAAAGGAAAGATTTGTACGGTATTTTTTTTTTGAAGCAGAGCTAGCCAGAGCCCAACAGTTTATTTATTTATTTTTAATCTTAATGACTTATTTCCATTTATGTAATCCCAAAAGCCTGCTTCAGCATAGCTGCAAAACCTGGAAGAAATCTCAGCCACCCAGAATAAGCTGTAAACAATAGATTAAATAACAAAACTTCTCTTGTCTGTTTTCAACTTTGGTGTCTTCTAAAATATAAATCATCAAATGATTTGCAAATATTAGAGAAAGTGATGTGATGTTTAATTCTAATAAGATTGGTGTTTATCATAATCTACTCAAAGGTGTGTTGGTGAAATATATAAGAAATAAAAAAAAATTCTTTATTGACATACTGCTTGAATATTTTTTTCATTTTAAAATGGTTTTAGGTGTACTTTAGAAAAGTGCAAAGCTAGATATCAAAATAACCTTGTTAAGTAAGCTGTTGTTTGTAATTAGTATTTGGTGTAATAAAAGAAAAAAAAGCAGCATTGACTTTGAAAACACTTTTAATCAAAACGTTTGCAAGCAAATGCACTGAGCTCGATTAAAGAACTATATTTGAAGTTTAAGCCATAGCTAACATGCACCAATTAGACATAAAAGACGTCAGTGTAATCAAATTTATTTAGACTCTGAGAAAATGCATCAGCCTTAAAGACTCTCTAACGAGGAAGCCAAGGGTTGAAAGAAACGGTTATAAGGATCACCTTCTCCCTCTGACTTCATAAAAACATATTCACTAAGAGGTGGGCCAAGTGGGTTAAATACGCTGGTCTTGAACAGACAGAAGTATGGAATGGATGACCATGCAACGCCTGTTATTTCATTTATGTTCTGTAGCATCTAAGGATCAATATATTTATGTATTTCTCATACTTATTTAAAAACTTCCTGGTATATAATTCATTCCTGCTTTTTCAGGTGGACTTATCTTTCCCTGTTTGTTCAAATTGTTAGATGTAATTTACGTAACTCTGTATATTTTGTCTATAATTTTATACATAAAAAATAATTGTGAGTGGCGGTAGTAACATTGTATGTTCCCTGAAAGTAATTATCACTATATTGAAATGCTCTTACAAGATAAAAATAAAAAAAATAGTTATAGGAAACATTTGCTGCAGCCTGTGTTACAGCGTCATTATAACACAAGTATAAACTGGTAGGGGTTTGCTTTTCATACAAACATGTATGTTTCACAAGCAAATACATTTGATGAAATCTTATAGGGTTTCCCTGGTTAAGAGCTAGACAGTGCATGTTTTTTTTTTCTTTTATTTTTTATTATTTTTTTTTATTATTTCCATCCAGAGGCCATACAACATACTTGTTTCTACCTGTACTGCTCCTGGATTAGTTTTATTTTTGTCTTCTCAATGTTGCACCAGATGGCACACTTGATGCCCCCTGTCTGTCTCATTTAGGTTTCTTCTGTCAAAGGGAGTCCTTCCTCCCTATTATAGAATAAAAATGTATAAAACAATTTTTTTTTATCATATATAAATCGAATTGGTTTCTATTGTAAAGTGCTGTTAGTTGATGTTTTAAAATCTGACATTTATTTATTTATATACTGGGGTTATGAAAAGAGAATTTGGATATATTATTATTATTATTATTATTATAAACATGTATCTAAAATGGCGCAGTATAATTTATACCTTAGTTCTTAATAATGTGATGCATTATTTTCAATGTTATAATTCAAAAACTAAAAAGATTTAGGCGCGTGTACGTACGGGTCTGCGTACGCGTGACGTAATGACGTCGTGCTACGGATGTAAACACGACTCGGTCCACATGGAAGGAAAAGCAGGGATGATGCCAACCGTGGAGCGGTTTGTCAGTCCAGGGAAAGGGAACGGCCTGCGGGCCACAGCCGGGATAAGCAGAGGGCAGCTGGTGAGCTGGGCTGAGCCGCTGGCCTGCTGCGTGTCCAACAAACGAGCCAGAGAGGTTTGCCACCACTGCTTCTCACGGTAAGACGAGTCCAAACTGTCACTATCCTCTACTGCTAAACTAGTCACTTTTTTCTTTAACGCTCTTGTTAAGGAAATATTTGTTACTCTTCGTTAACAAACAAATGATCTGTCTACGCATTGTGATTAAAGAGTATAGTTTTTGTTGCAGTGGTTTAAAATAATGTATCTTAATTAACACACCTGATTTTAAATTGCGGCTTCCTGTTCGGCATGCTTCAGGGACAGTGTGCTGCATAAGCCTGATAACTACTGTTTATTCACATTCAGTTGATTATTGGTTACCGACTGGAAACCCTATTGTATTTCTTTAACTGGTCAGCAGATGGCGCCATTGCTTCTTGGTGAAAACTGCTGTTCTAAAGCAGTCAGTCAGACGTGACGTTTGCGTGAATTTTGCAAAGCAATCATC